TGCAGCTGCCGCGTGCGGCGTTTTGTTATCCTGCATTGGACTCTCCGTCCGTGCAAGTCGTGACCGGCATTCCGCATGTGACGACCCGCTTCTCCGAAGCAGTCGAGTGAGCGAGTTGTCCTGACTTGCTCGGCTGTGGCAGAAGACCCGTGGGCTTTGCTTCTTATGGTGCAGCCTCTCAGCCTCAACAGTACCCTCGGATCTAGTGGCTTCTTCCACATCCTACTGCAAAGATATGTCGCCCATGAGGACGCGTATCTCTATGCTGGGGATTGCACGAGCAGTTTCACGCACAGGGACCAGCAGGACCGCCAGCATCGCGGCGCAGGCCTGTGCCCCCCCCGCCAAGATGCCCTGAAAAAAGAAACGCGTGCCTCTGAGAGGCCCCCCAAACCATCTACTCTTCTGGGGCCATGCAGCATTGCACTAACGCCCGCCCTAGGCGGAGAGCAAAGTTAACCTGCATAAGCATCTGGAGCAGTTCGATCAGCTTGATGGGGTCATAGCACTTAGCCACGTCAAGCGACGCACTGAATCGGCATCCTCGGCCCTAACAATCTCTGCTGACAAGCTGAAATAGAACGCTGAACCACTCGAGCTCCGACCCTTCCCGCTCCCCCAGGGCTCCTCCGTTCTGCTGGCCAGCCCCAAGCGCTCTGAAACTAAGCGCCTCGCCCTGCTCCAAACTCTGATGCGGGAGCCCAGGAGCGCTATCACGCGGTGGCCTCCGCCAGGCTCGCCTTGCCTGATGAGCCGGGAAACCAACCTCTGGGATGACCACCTCAAACATGTCACGCCGATGCAGCAACAGCAACGCCATCAAGGCAAAGAGAGCCTCGTCCGACTGATACATGAGCGGCCGAGGATATATTTGACAGGGCCCTACAGCCGCTTCACTGGAAACTTCGAAGCGGCAGATCTCAAGTCGGCTAGGGCGATAGGTGGGAGGGGGCCCCACTCAGGAGCGCCCCCAGAAAGCTCTGGCTGTCCACAGCCGCGCGCGACCCAAACAGCCCACCCACCCCGAGACAACCGCGTCCGCTAACCCGAGGGCCTGGGCTCGCTCCCGGGCTCCGATGATCTTCAGGATCGCTCCAGCCTTTGTGAACCTGCCGGCGCCTCGGGCCCCTCCCCCAACAGGCACCCCTGACCCAGTTCTGCCGCTCCTCGCTGCTGGCCACGAGATGCTCCGCCTCACGCTGGGCCGACATGTCCAGAATCCTCGATCAGTTCTGAGGAAGCCGGGTCTCATAGAGACCTTAGCCGAGCTCTGAAAAGAAAAAACGACTCGTCAAACTGTCCAGGCAATTCTGCACCCACTCCAGCCTGCTCACGCGGCCGAAGAAGCGCTCCCACCTCGAGCAGCACCGTGGCCACTCTGCTGTACCTCTCTGTCCTGGTCGCCGTCGTCTACCTCGAGCCTCGGGATGTAGCTGTGCAAGACCGCGCCCACTGACCGCAGGTGTCGGTGCCATTTGGCCGTTATCTTCCGTGTTGCTTGCTCTGTCGATGGCTGGACACGTTGCCTCAACTCAAACTGTAATTTCTTCCTCCTCAGCTCGCTCGGGCCTGACCGACTTCCAAACTTGGCTTGTTCTGGTTCCAAGATGGCATGCCTGTCCAGAATCTCATAGTCAGCTCCCTGCTGAAAACATCTATTCTAGAAGCTGCCGAGGTCCTCGCCGTTCTTGGCCGACTCAGTTCTGCTGTGAAGCTCTGGCCATTGCCATGCGTACCTAGCACGACCAGGTTTCGCCACCCTAGGAAACTTTCTCGGCTGGCAAGGCATCCAACACCACAGAGTCGTGTTCACCCCCACAATGGTGATGCCGACTGATTTGGAGGCGCAATGTCGATGTCATCGCCTTCTGTCATGATAGCTAAGCTAGCACTCATTACCAGATAGTCAATGATCGTAGAGAGCACACTCTGGGTACATGCCACCGACGACGGCGCTGACACTACTCCTCCAATCGCAGACGCCCACGTCAAAAAATACCCTGGCTCCATCTGAACGCCTTGGAGCCAGTATCGCGCCTCCACCACTCGTGCCACTCCCTTCCGTGCCAGACGCCTTCGCCTATATTGCATAGTATCCCGCAGCTGGTGTCCGAGCCTGGAAATTTGGGAGCTTGGCACTCAATTGATGTTCTTGGACACACATCACCATGGACGTTCTCGCTAGGGACGATGCTTTCGATATCAACAGCTTCGCCAGTGGCCCATGCACCGTAGCATTAGCGGTCGGAACGTTCACCATCATTATACACCTAATGATGCGCATCGTTCTGAACAAAGATCTCAACCACCTAGATGCATGCGTCGGGGTCGACGCGAGCCCTCTTAGCAAACCTCCCGATCTGATCGCTTGCCCTCCTCGCCTCATCGCGGAGCTGCTCCTCCGTGTCGGGAACTCCGATGTTGACTGACCTGGGAAATCCCGTGAGCACCCTTGGGTCATCCGCGTGCCGAGGAACCCAGCCTCACCCCGCTGCGGCGCCAGCGCTTGCGGCCGCCCCAGGGCCACCTGCCGCTGGGGCCGCTCCAGGACCACGCGCCGCTGGAGCACCGCTGTGCGCCCCCGCCCCTGGACCGCCTGCCCTTGGAGATCCCGCTGCTGGTGCCTCAGCGGCGCGCGAATGGCCCCCCCTTTGGCGCCCCTGGAGGAGGAGGGTGAGTAGGGGGAGGAGGAGGAGGGGGAGGAGGAGGAGGAGGAGGAGGAGGGGGAGGAGGAGGAGGAGGAGGGGGAGGAGGAGGAGGAGGAGGAGGGGGAGGAGGAGGAGGAGGAGGAGGAGGAGGAGGCTGCCCGTGCCCGCCTCTGGTCCGCCTGGTTCTCGGCCGCGCGCCCCTCCCCGAGCACCTCGCGCACCCTCTTCGCCGCGCCTCCCTGGGGGCCCCTGCGCCCTGCCGCGGGCTCGCCCAGGCACTCGGCCGACGGGCCCGCGGCCGCCCCGAGCACCTGCCGCAGCTGCTGAGGCTTGCCGCGCCGTCCTCCTGTGAAGGGGCCCTGGGACACACAAACAAATACACACGAATAAGAATACTCCCCGTGTTTCCCAGTATTTTCGGGGTTTTTGTCTTCCCCCCCATTTGTGCCATAGTTTCCCATATTTTCCGGGGGATCGACGATTCATTGTGTCTGTGTGTTTTTTCCCTCCTGATCCTGGTGGCAACGGCGCATTCGCCACCAGCTCGCGCCTGGGCCCTTCCAGCTCGAGCCGCTCCTTCCCGGCGTCACCCAGCGCGCGCTGCGCCTCCGCCGCCGCCTGCTGGTCTGCAGGCGCCGTCTCCTGGAGGACCTGAGCGTTGGCCCCCCTGGCGCTCCGCTTCCTTCTCAAGCTTGGCGCGCAGGAAAGACATGTCCTCATGTCTCATGTCGAGCGGCGCTTGGCTGCCGCCAACTTCCATCGCAACGTGCTCTGCCGCTCCAAGCTTCGCGCGCGCCTTCTGCACCTCCGCCGCGTTGACATCTCTGATGGTCTCGATGCTGGCGGAAATCTCCGCCGATGCTGGCGGAAATCTCCGCCGGCTGCTTCCTGCTGCCGCCGCCGCCGTCGAGGCCCGCGCCGCCGTCGTCCACCTCCATCGCCTCCTCGGACCTGGAGGGAGCTCTGGCAATTTGAGACCCGAGCTGCGCCAACTTCTGCTGGACTCTCTTAAGCTCCTGCCCCACCTTGGCACTGCTGGTCTGACCCCTGCAACGCGCTGCGATGCCAGTTCAGGAACTTTGGAGTCAGCGAGCGCCTTGCACTTCTGCTGCTGGCACGCTGCACCGCGAGAGGTCCGATCTGCTTCCGCCACCGATCTCCCGAATTCGAGCAGCAGTGGTGGGCAATGCCACGGTGCAGCCTATGCCCTGCGCTTTGTCTGGTGACCTGAGAGCTACGGACCGCCACCTGCGCCTCCCTCTCGCGCCATCTGGCGCGGCCTTGCGGATGCGCTAGCAAGGCTCTGCCCCCCATGATGACCAGGGATCCAGTTGCTTTGGTGTTTTCTCGGGATGAGGAGTTTGACTTGTTTTCAGGGCTTGATCGGAGGAAGTGTCAGTGACAGAGCAGGCTTTGGACAACGAGTTTGGGGGATTGCTGATCAGAAGTAGAGCCATCAAATATACTCACTTTCAGCCCCTGGAGGGACTGGAGAACTCGTCTGGCCCCCACCTCGCCCGCGCGTTCCTTTCGTTTCCTCGCATATCCCAGGGGGGGCGTCTTAAATTGGCCCCCCACCATAAAGTGACAACGTCCTGCGATAGCCAGGTCTGATTTCTTAGCCCGAAACTTCAGACGGTAAGAGCCGCCGATTGTGCCGACAGACCGTCCTCCTCTATCACCCAGCTCCACGATAAGCTCATCTCGCTCCCACATGTGCTGGTGCACCCCGATCGCATGCTCATACATCACCATCATGTGGAGCCCTGTGGCGATCGGCGGAAGTGGTTGAGCCAGGGTTTCTGTTCTGCCGCCGCCTCTGCTGCCGCCGCTGTGAGAGGGAGGAATAGGGGAGGAACGGGGGAGGCCCTCAGATCGACGCCCCCACCGCTACCCTGGTCTTCGTCGTCGTCGTCCTCGTCCCCGTCCTTTTCCTCGTCCCCGTCCTTTTCCTCGTCCTCGTCCTCGTGTCCTCGTCCTCGCGTCATTCTTCTCGCGTCCTCGTCCTCGTCCTCTTTGTCGTCGTCGCCGTCGCCGTCGCCGTTGCCGCCGCCGCTGTCGTCGTCGTCGTCGTCCTCGTGCTCGACCTCGTCCTCGTCCTCGTCCTTGTTCCCCATGTCCTCGTCCCCCTCGTCGTTGTCGTCGTTGTCGTTGTCGTCGTCGTCGTCGTCGTCGTCGTCGTCGTCGTCGTCGTCGTCGTCGTCGTCGTCGTCCCCCTCGTCGTCGTCGTCGTCGTCGTCGTCGTCGTCGTCGTGACCCGGCCCGCCCGAGCGGGCCCACCCGGCCGGTTCGCCCGGCGCTCCGCGCCGGGCCTCCCCCCCCGCGCGCGTTGCCCAGGACGAGAATCAGTGGATGCCCTACGGCCAGCAGATGCAGGAGGAGCGCCCGCGGGCCTCAGCCCGCGCCCCGCCCCTGGGAGTGGCCGGAGGAGGGGAGAGGAGGAGAAGGAGGAGGAGGAGGGGGAGGGCGGCGGACGCGTTCGGCTACGGGTTCCTGGAGGTGCCCTGCCGGTGCAGGTCGATCGCGGAGGTGCCCAGAGGGGAGTTGTGCGCAGTCGGCAGGCCGCGCCTCGGGGATCGCGGAGGGAGAGAGAGGAGGAGGGGGAGGGGGACGAGGAGGGAAACGGGGCAGGAGGAGGAGGAGGAGGAGAAGGAGGAGGAGGAGGAGGAGGAGGAGGAGGAGGGAGGAGGAGGAGGAGGGAGGAGAGGAGGGAGGAGGGAGGAGGGAGGAGGGAGGAGGGAGTGGAGGGAGGAGAGGAGGAGGGAGGGAGGGAGGAGGAGGAGGAGGAGGGAGGAGGGAGGAGGGAGGAGGAGGAGGGAGGAGGGAGGAGGAGAGGAGGAGGAGAGGAGGAGGAGGAGGAGGAGGAGGGAGGAGGAGGAGGGAAGGAGGAGGGGAGGAGGAGGAGGAGGAGGAGGAGGAGGAGGAGGAGGAGGAGGAGGAGGAGGAGGAGGAGGAGGAGGGAGGAGGAGTGGAGAGTTACCGCGGCCCGCCCGCGGCCCGCGGCCCCGCCAGGCCCCCCTCCTGGTGTTGCGCAGCGCCACGCGCGGCGACCCTTGCTCCACCACCGCGTCGCGCGCCTGCCCGCCGAGAGGGCCGCGGTAAACTCTCCCTCCTCATCCTCCACCTCCTCCTCCTCCTCCTCCGCCTCATCTCATCATCATCCTCCTCCTTTCTCCTCGTTCTTCCTCCTCGTTCTGCTCCTCCCCCATTTCCTTCCTCGTCCTCCCCCCCTCCTTCTCGTCTCTCTTATCTCCCTCCTCTCCTCCTCCTCCTCCTCCTCCTCCTACCTTCCTCCTCCTCCTCCTCCGCCTCCTCCCTCCTCCTCCTCTTCCTCCACATCCTCTTTTTCTTTCCTCATTCTCTCCTCCACCCTCCCCCTCTTCTCTTCCTGCTCCTCCTCCTCCGTTCTCCTGCTCCACATCCTCCTTCTCCTCCTCGTCAGTCCGCAGCCGTGCTGGTTCAAGATCTATGGTTCCTTTGCGAATGAAGTGGATACCGCTGTTCCTCGGCTAGCTGCAACCATGTCAGCCGCCCCAGTCGAGCACAGTCGAGCTGCGAACTGCCGACGGTAAGTTCACTCTTTCGTTCGAGGGTAGGCGCCGGAGGCATCGGATGACAGGCGACGCAGCCCCCAGGCTCAGTCGACACGCCCAGCGGCGGAGAGCGGCTGCAGTCGACGGGTGCTGCAAGTGGTGTATGCGTCTGGTCTCAGGCGCAGCCTGGTAAGTGCTGCATTCGAAGACAAACGTTTGAGAATCCTCGCTCGCGCCAGGACACCATTCCTGAAAATTCAGTGCCGCGAGTCAGCGTGCTTGTAGCGTTCTGACAATCCTCAATCGTGCCAGGGCAGAATTGGTGGGACGTCGACGCAGCGAATCGACGTGACTGTTGCGCCCAGACAAATTCACATCGTGCCAGAAACGCCATTCCTGGGAATTCAACCCCTCGAATCTTTCGAATTGCTGGAAGCTTTGAATAACGCGAATCTGCGCGAAGGCGAGAACCACATTCCCCAAATAGCGGTTGCACTTAGGAGTTCTCGTTTGTTTCTATGGAACTGGGCTTGCCCGTCGGTCTGGCGGCTGTGTAGTCGCCGTCGCCGCCCCGTCGCCGCCCCGTCGCCGCCTTTTAGCCGCCCGTTTTCTGGGCCTGCCCGTCGGTCTGGCGGCTAATTATGCGGTCGCCGTCGCCGCCCCGTCGCTCTGGGCCTGCTCGTCAGACTGGCGACTGTGTGGTCGCCGTCGCCGCCCCGTCGCCGTCTGCGCCTGCATTACATAGCATTGCTTTGCGTTGCTCTGCATGGCATGTCATTGATTTGCATTGTTTTCTTTGCGTTGCTGTGCGGCTCCTTGCATTAATGTGCATTGGTTTGCATTGTGTTTTCTAGCTTTGCCTTGATCTGCGTTGCTTTGCGTTGCATTGCTTTGGCTTGCATATGCTTTGCGTCGCTTTTCGCTGGTTTGCGTTATGTTGCGTTGCTGCGCATTGCGTTGCAATGTTCTGCGTTGTCGCGCATTGTGTTGCATTGTTTTACTTTGCATTGCTTTGCATTCTCTTGCGCTTATGTGCATTGATTTGCGTGTTGCTTTGCGTTGCGTTGCGTTGCATTATTGCGTGGCGTTGCTTTGCGTTGCTATGAATTGCTTGGTATTGTTTTGCGGTGCTTCGCATTGCATTGCGTTGCTTTGCATTGCGTTGCATTACTTTGCGTTGTATTGCGCTGCGTCGCTTTGCATTGGTTCTCCTTTCTGAAAATGTGTTCGGATCTATCCCGCCCCCCCCCCCCCGCCCCTGGAGTTAACGGGTCACCTTTTCGTATCGCAATTTACACATGATTCTGCCCCATCGCTCATTTGTAATATGATTTCATATCATTTCAGGCGATCACGGTATCGACCCCCCTCATCCCTGGCGCACATTCGTTGATAAAAAATCAGCAGTTTTCAATTGGACACGCGCGCGTCGTCGCGCGCGCATGCCGGATTTTTTTAAGAACACTCGGTTGCGTAAGGATTTCCAAATCGAGTGTCCCGACAACACATGATAACACATGGTTTCGCAACACGGATTTTCAAACAAAGTTTGTGCCCACGTTCTTGTGAATTCCTAAGAAAATCATTGTTTTGTTTCAAGATGTCCGCATCATGCTACTAAAACGGGCTTCGCGCGTGCGCATGTCGAAATCGTTCGAGCGCCCTTGCGTGCGTGCTGCCGCAATAACCGTCTGCAGCATATGGGACGAAGTGCGCACGCGCGCGTCGACGCGCGCGCATGCCGAAATCCGTCAAACACTTCAGGTTTCGTAAAAGCTATTCGAGCATCCAGCAAACAGCAAAAAGCGTCCAGCAAACAGCAAAGCTTCCGAAATCGAGCGTCCAGCAAACAAATCAAACCATATGGTTTCGCAACATCAGCCTGCGCTCGCGCTCTGGGTTTCACGCGCCGCATGTCGAAATCATTCGAATGCCCTTTCGCGCGTGCGGGGTGGGTATGATCCGCGTTGAGCCAACAAGCACTCATCGCAATCGCTGCCGCCTGTGTTTTGCAAAACAAATTGTGGGTGGGTGTGTGGGATGATTGCGCGAGCAGTGGACTTGACAACTGCGAGTTCCACAAGTGACTCTGTACCAAACAGATTGCACCACCTGGGTTGCACCACCTAGATTGCACCACGTTGATTGCACCACCTAGACGTCTAGATTGCACCACATAGGTTACAAGACATTATTAGTTGGGGTCCACGCTGGCTAACATTTTGACAAAGGAACCGCTCTCCATCCGTGAAACTAAATAGAGGCCATTTCTTTATTGCTTGGGGCATGACGGGCGTCATGGCCCCCGCTCCCCCCCTCCCCCCCCCTATGACGTAACGCTCCCCCCCCAGTGCGCTCCGGGCACTGCCGCCGTGCGCATTGGGATCCGCGTAGGTGTCCGCGTAGGAATCCGCATAGGTGTCTGGTCCGCAGTCGTCGTCGTCGTCGTTGTCGTCGTCGTTCGTTGTCGTCGCTCGTGGTTCGTCGCTCGTCGCTCATCGTCGTCGTGCGCGAGGACGCGGCTGAAACCTGTTTTTGAGTCCAGACCGATGACGGCAATCATGTGTGGGGGGGGGGGTCGATGACGCCACGTTTCGCGCCGGCGGCGTTTGGGAATGGTGAATGACGGATGACGGGTAGCACGAACATGTAGGTGGCGATATGCACCACAACGCCTGTGTACATCACAGTGCCCGCGTGCACCACAGCGCCTGTGTACACCACACCGCCGATGTACACCACAGCAGCCGCGTGCAACACAGCGTCAGTTTGTGCCACCGTGCCTGCGGGCACAGCAGCTCCTGTGTACACCGCGGCGCCTCCGTACACCACATCAGCCGTGCCCCCGAGTCCGCCCGCATCACCCTAACTCCCATTTGCGTCCAGGAGGCTCCAGCTAAACTGGCCGTCCGAGAACCAAGTGGCCCGATTCAATCGACCATTCTGCGGTGCACGCTGAGATGCGCACGTGCGTTGTACCGCCAAGCCGCACGACAGGGGGTAAGAAGGAGAAAAAGGAGGACGAGGAGGACGAGGAGGAGGAGGAGGAGGAGGAGGAGGAGGAGGAGGAAGAGGAGGGAGGAGGAAAAAACATCGCATTCGATTATCAGAACTTTCCTGGCGTGGCGTTTAGTTGTCCGCATCAGATCCTGACGTACATGCTCCTTCTACCTGTCCTATGCACGCAGGCACTGTGGTGTACACCAGCGTTGCGTTGCACGCGGATGCTGTGGTGTAGACAAGCGTTGTGGCGTGCACAGGCGCTGCGGTGCACGCAAGCACTGTGGTGTACACAGGCGTTGTGTTGCACATGGCTGCTGCGGTGTATGTACACCGGCGCTGTAGTGCTCCCAAGTATTGTGGTATACGCGGGCGGTGCGTTGCACACGGCTGTTGCGGTGTACGCAGGCGCTGTGGTGCACACGCGCGGTGTGGTGCACGCGAGCGTTGTGGTGCACACAGGCGCAATGGGCAGATCGCCACTTACATGCTGCTCGCGTCGTCTTCGGTCGTCGCTCGTCGCTCGTCGCGTCGTGCGCGCGGGCGCGGCTGTTGTGCCGGAGCCACACGGCGGGGGGGGGGCGTCACGTCATACCCCCCTCCGCCCTCCCCCCCCCATGACGCCGGTCATCGCCGAACATAAAGAAACGCCTTCATATTTCCAGCGAAGATTCGCGGCGGTAAGGCAAGACTCGCATTGCGAAGAGGATCGGCCCTCCATCCTTGAAGCTTGTGCAGACTTTACGACGAGTGTTCGCGGCGCTGAGGCGAGGGCTACATTTTGAAAAGGACCCGCCCTCCATTTTCGAGGCTGTTGCAGATTGAAGCTTCAGGATTGGCTACGCAGCGGAAATTTCAGGCGAAACGCCCAGCCCGCCCTACCAACGCATCTGGGGGGCGCCACAGGGCGAAGTTGTTTATGAGGAAGGGGGGTGCAGGAGGGGTAAGAACGAGGAAGAGGAGGAGGAGGAGGAGGAGGAGGAGGAGGAGGAGGAGGAGGAGGAGGAGGACGAGCAGGAGGAGGAGGAGGAGGAGGAGGAGGAGGAGATTGAGGAGGAGGAGGAGGAGGAGGAGGAGGGGGAGGAGAAGAGGCCGGGGGATTGTGGAGTCGCTGTGGGTTTTAGACGAAAATTTACGATATTTCAGTTTGTTCCTCATCATTATGCTGATGTTTCCTTTCTCGTTTTCTCTCACTCTCTCTCTCTCTCTCTCAATCTCTCCCACTCCCATTCCCATTCCATTCCCATTCCCAATACCATTACCATTACCATTACCATTACCATTCCCATCCCAATTCCCATTCCCATTCACATTACCGTTACCATTACCATTACCTTTACCTTTATCTTTACCTTTACCTTAACCATTACCATTACCATTGCCATTACAATTGCCAGTGCCATTACCATTGCCATTACAATTGCCATTATCATTGCCATTGCCATTGCCAGTGCCGTTGCCATTGCCATGGTATTGCCACTGCCAGTAGCCACCCCGTTACCATTACCGTTACCATTACCATTACCATTCCCACTACCATTACCATTCGCCACCACCATTAGCATTACCAACACAATTGCCATTACCATTACCATTACCGCTGCCATCACCATTACAATTCCCATTCCCATCATCATTGCCATTACCATTACCGTTACCAGTACCATTTCCATTACCATTGCCATTATCTTTCCCACTACCACTACCATTTCCATTCCCGTTCCCGTTCCAATTACTACTACGATCCCCATTCCCATTCCCATTCCCATTACCATTACCATTACCATTACCATTGCCATTGCCATTACCATGACCATGACCATTGCCATGGCCATTGCTATTGCCATTGCCGTTGCCGTTGCCATTCCCATTACTATTGCCAATCGTTACCATTGCCATAACCATTACCATTACCGTTATCGTCACCATTACCATTCCCAGTACCATTATCATTACCACTGTCATTGCCATTACCATTACCATTGCCATTGCCATTCGCCACTACCATTACCATTGCCATTCGCCACTACCATTTACCATTACCATTGCCATTGCCATTGCCCTTCGCCACTACCATTACCGTTGCCAGTACCATTACCATTCCGATTAACATTCCCATTCCCAATACCATTACCATTACCGTTACCATTACAATTGCCATTGCCATTACCATTACCATTACCTTTCCCTCTACCTTTACATTTACCCTTACCCTTACCATTCCCATATCCGTTACCACTACCACTGCCATTTCCATGCCCGTTCCCATTCCCATTCACATTCCCATTCCCGTTCCCATTCCCATTCACATTACCATTGCCATTACCATTACCATTGCCATTGCCATGGCAATTACCATTGCCATTCCCATTGCCATTGCCATTGCCATTGCCATTGCCATTACCGTTGCCATTGTCATTGCCATTGCCATTGCCAGTCGCCACCTCGTTACCACTATCATTACCGTTACCATTACCAGTACCATTACCATTACCTCTGTCATTACCATTACCATTCGCATTGCCATTGCCATTCGCCACTACCATTACCATTGCCAGTACCATTTCCATTGCCATTCCCATTCTCATGGCCATTACCATTACCATTACCATTATCACTATCATTTCCATTACCATTACCTTTACTTCTACCTTTACCTTTACCCTTACCCTTACCATTCCCATTTCCGTTACCACTACCACTACCATTTCCATTCCCGTTCCCGTTTCTATTCCCATTCACATTCCCATTCCCGTTCCCATTCCCATTACCATTGCCATTATCATTACACTTACCATTGCCATTGCCATGGCCATTATCATTGTCATTGCCATTGCCAATCTCATTGCCATTGTCATTACCATTACCGTTGCCATTGTCATTGCCATTGCCAATCGCTACCCCCTTACCATTACCATTACCGTTACCATTACCAGTACCAGTACCATTACCTCTGTCATTACCATTACCATTACCATCACCATTGCCATTGCCATTCGTCACTACCATTACCATTGCCAGTACCATTTCCACTCCCATTCACATTACCATGATACTACCGCTGCCATTACCATTAGAATTCCCGTTCTCATTCACATTCCCAATACGATTACAATTTCCAGGACCATTACCATTACCATTACCATTACCACTACCACTATCATTTCCATTCCCGTTCCCGTTCCCATTCCCACTGCCATTCCCATTACCATTACCATTACCACTGCCATTGCCAATACCATTACCATTACCTTTAACTCTACCTTTACCTCTACCCTTACCGTTACCATTACCATTGTCATGGCCATTACCATTGCCATTGCCATTGTCATTGCCATTCCCATTGCCATTGCCATTGCTATTACCATTACCATTACCGTTGCCATTGCCATTGTCATTGCCACGCTACCCCGTTACCACTATCATTACCGTAACCATTACCAGTACCATTACCAGTACCATTACCATTACCATTGCCATTCGAGGATTTCAGTAGGAATCATTCAGTGGAGGGTTGCAGTAGGAATCCACATGTGGAGGATTTCGGTAGGAATCATTCAGTGGAGGGTTTCGATAGGAACCCTTCTGTCGAGGATTTTACTGTGAATCCTTCTTATGGTGGCGTCCAATAGGAATCCTTCTAGGGGGGAGGGCAGATGTGGTCACGTCGCATTCCTTTTTTTTTCTCCTGGTGCCTCCCCCCCCCCCCCAGAAAAAAAAAACTGATATTTTGTTTTAGGGTTTTTTTCCCTGGGGGGGGGCGCCTGGAGAAAAAAAAGGCAGAGAGGTAGCAGGAGGGGAAGAGCGAGGAGGAGGAGGAGGAGGAGGAGGAGGAGGAGGGGGCGGAGGAGGAGGAGGAGGAGGAGGAGGACGACACAGAGCAGAGTTTGCACAGAAACAGTCGCGAACTCAGCGCGAAACCCTCGCGCGCGCGCTTTTGAACCCCTGCGACTCCACAATCCCCCGTTCTCGAGGAGAAGGGGGGGGATATGGAGGAAGAGGAGGAGGAGGAGGAGGAGGAGGAGGAGGAGGAGGAGGAGGAGGAGGAGATGGAGGAGGAGGAGGAGGAGGAGGAGAAGATGGAGGAGGAGGAGGAAGTGGGGGAGGAGGAGAAGGAGGAGGAGGAGGAGGAGGAGGGGGGGGGGAGAAGTATGATGCAGGGGTAAGAAGGCGGTGTCTGCCTGAGCTCCATGGGCCTCGCTCTTTCGGGGGTTCATTGCTGAACGACCACGGCGGAGGAGCTCAGGAAGCTGCTCGAGTGCGCCCCCGTCCCCGCGCAGTGCCTCTTCGCCGAGCGAAAGCACGCGTACTGGCTGCTGGGCCTGGACCAGCGCGGCCTCGTCGAGGAGGCAGGATCGAGGTTAGAGAATGTGGCTTCTGCATGGCTTTTGCACATTTGGGGGGCCTCAGGGAGGCGTCTCGTCGCCGCGGCTGGACCCTCTTGGACATCCTGGCCGGAGCGCACCTGAGGAAGGGGCCCGGGGCCGCGACCTCCTAGGAGGAGGATCTGGGCCTCCGACGCCGTTTTTCGGGGGTGGACTGAACCCCCAGCAGTGACACGTCGATTAGTGAATTGTCCGTTTTCGGTTCTCGAGAGGGCGCCGTGGCCGTTATTTTCCAGGCGTGCGCCCGCCAGGTTTGGGCCTCAGGTCGTTTTCACTAAACCACGTTTTACTAAAGGGGAGTCTGTCCATCCCCGAAGGAGGAGGATCTGGGCCTCCGACGCCGTTTCTGTTGTGCCTCTGCTTTGTGCTCGGTGCCGGCGCTGGCCGCTTTCGGATCGGTTTCTGGCTCCAGGTGGCGGCTTCTGGCCCCGGGGCCACCACGAGCAGTCTGGAACGAACGCCAGTCCTGGGGAAGGGCTTGGGAGGTCGGAGGCCGCGTGCTGGACAAATCGTGGCATCGGAGGCCTGGGAGGGGGGGAATGATCGAAGGCAGGCCCAGGATGGGGATGCTCCGAGGCGGGAATTTATCCATATCCACCGCCTGGAGGGTCAGTTTTCGGAACCTCGGCAGGCGGTGGATATGGACATATTCGGGCCCCCGGGGGCCGAAATATGTCCATATCCACCGCGGCGCCAGGACGTCAATTCCCAGGCGGTGGATACGGATAAACCCCCGCCTCGCATGGGCGGAGGGGAACGATCGAAGGCAGGCCCAGGACGGGGATGCCTCGCTGCAGAGCTTCCCAGCGCGCCCCCCAAGAGCGCTCCGGGGCCGTCTGGTACTGCTCTGCTGCGCCCGACACACCATGCAGACCCGGTTTTTTCAGTGAGTCCCGGTGCATCCCGATCCGATGTGGCCCCCGCGCTGACTTTTCTTGACCAGCACTGCCCATGACGTCGGAGGCCCGGGTGGAGGGAGGGGGAGGCGAGAGTGGCGCGGACATGGGAGGGGCACCCTCGGTGGCCACGGGCAGGAGTGCGGCCGGCGTTCCCGCCCCGTGTTTTCTGGCTCGGGGCCCAACGATGGGGCCCATGATTCTGGTTGTGACTCGTTGCGACAGTTGTTGTTGCTTTATCAGTTTTTTTCGGCCGACGTCGGATCTCGTGGCAGGCAGCCTCAGGACCCTCAGGATCCCAGTGATTCGTCACTGATGCTGCCGGGAGGGAAAGGGAGAGGGAGAGGAGGAGGAGGAGGAGGAGGAGGAGGAGGAGGAGGAGGAGGAGGAGGAGGAGGAGGAGGAGGAGGAGGAGGAGGGGAGGAGGAGGAGGAGGGAGGAGGAGGAGGAGGAAAAGGAGGGGGAGGAGAAGGAGGAGGCAGGAGGAGGAGGAGGAGGAGGAGGAGGAGGAGGAGGAGGAGGAGGAGGAGGAGGAGGAGGAGGAGGAGGAGGAGGTAAAGGAAAAGGAGGGGGAGGAGGAGGAGGAGGAGGAGGAGGAGGAGGAGGAGGAGGAAAAGGGACGGGATCTGCAGTGGCCTTGCAGAGTTTCTGCGTCCTTCGCGCAAGTCTTCGCAAAGGCGGCGTCTATAGAATTGACGAGTCGTCGTGCACTCCAGAATTAGCCTGGCGAAAGACCCAACCATACGCAGTTGTGAATACCGCAATTGCGAATACCATCTTCGCCCGCGCCCCCTCTGTGGCCACGGCTTCCCGCCGGAGCCCGACATGCTCAGGGACATGTTCGTGTCCGTTTTCGCGGGCGCCGACGACGACGAAGACGGCGCCCCCCTAACCGAGGAGCAGAAGCAGGAGGGCTTTGAGAGCCATGAGGGAGGCTGCCACTGGCGCCTTCGGTGCAGCTCCTATGCGGCCACGATCCTCGTGAGGGGTGTGCCGAAGTGGCCCGAGGCCGCCATGCGAGCCCTGTCATTGAGGCCTTCGCTGGGGCCCCCTTGTGGGGCCACGATCCTCGTGAGGGGTGTGCCGAAATGGCCCGAGGCCGCCATGCGAACCCTGCCGCTGGCGCCTTCGGTTGAGCTCCCCACAGGGCCACGATCCTCGCGGGGGGTGTGCCGCCATGCGAACCCTGCCGCTGACGCCTCCTGCGGAGCTCCCTACGGCACCACGGGGCCACGACCCTCGCGGGGTGTGTGTGTGTGTGTGTGTGTGCGTGTGTGTGCCGAAATGGCCCGAGGCCGCCATGCGAACCCTGCCGCTGGCGCCTTCGGTGGAGCTCCCTGTGGGGCCACGATCCTCGTGAGGGGTGTGCCGAAATGGCCCGAGGCCGCCGTGCGAACCCTGCCACTGGCACCTGCGGTGGAGCTCCCTATGGGGCCACGATCCTCGTGAGGGGTGTGTTGGAATGGCCCGAGTCTGCGATGCGAGCCCTGCCGCTGGTGCCTTCGGTGGAGCTCCCTACGGGGTCGCGATCCTTGTGAGGGGTGTGTGTCGAAATGGCCCGAGGCCGCCGTGCGAACCCTGCCACTGGCGCCTTCGGTGGAGCTCCTATGGGGCCACGATCCTCGTGAGGGGTGTGCCGACATTGCCCGAGGCCGCCAAGCGAACCCTGCCATTGGGATCGGTGGAGCCCCTTTGGGGCCACGATCTTCGTGAGGCGTTTGCCGAACTGGCCCGAGGCCGCCGTGCGAACCCTGCTACTGGCGCCTTCGGTGGAGCCCCCTTATGGGGCCACGATCCTCGTGAGGGGTGTGCCGAAATGGGCCGAGGCCGCCATGCGAACCCTGCCACTGACGCCTCCTGCGGAGCTCCCTACGGGGCCACGATCCTCGCGGGGGGTGTGCCCAAATGGCACGAGGCCGCCATGCGAACCCTGCCACTGACGCCTCCTGCGGAGCCCCCTGTGGGGCCACGATCCTCGCGGTGCAGTGTGTGTGTGTGTGTGTGTGTGTGTGTGTGTGCCGAAATGGCCCGAGGCCGCCATGCGAATCCTGCCACTGGCGCCTTCGGTGGAGCTCCTTGTGGGGCCACGATCCTCGTGAGAGGTGTGCCGAAATGGCCCGAAGCCGCCGTGCGAACCCTGCCAGTGGCACCTTCGGTGGAGCTCCCTATGGGGCCACGATCCTCGTGAAGAGTGTGTCGGAATGGCCCGAGGCCTCCATGCGAACCCTGCCGCTGGTGTCTTCGGTGGAACTCCCTACGGGGCCCTGATCCTCATGAGGGGTGTGCCGAAATGGCCAGATGCCGCCATGCGAACCCTGCCATTGGAGCCTTCGGTTGAGCTCCCTATGTGGTCACGAAGCGTTGTGTTGGGTGGGTGAGACGCAGGGAGGAAAGAGGAGGGGGAGGGAGGAAAGAGGGAGGAGGGACGCGGGAATCGTCTCTTCAAGACGAGGACCCAGCACCACATAACGGTAGGGAGAAATTGGAGGAGGTGGAGGAGTAGTAGTAGGGGCGGTTATCTTCCTGGCCCTCCCGCCTTTTATCCCCTCTCCTCCCCTGGCTGGCATAAGAGTTTCCTCCCGGTGAGGGCCGAGATGGTCGGGCAGTGGACGCGGGCCCAGCGCCAAGGGCCAGGGTCCCCCTCGAGGCGTGGGGGTGGGCGGGGCCCACTTGGCTGCCCCAGGTCCAAGAGGAGGAGCGTGCCATACAGCAATTGGCACACAACGTAAGGAAGGAAACTGGGATCGAAATCCATTCAACATTCACACGTCAAGGACCCTGTAAACACTCGCTGAGAGAGAAAGGGGGAGAACGAGAGAGAGAGAGAGAGAGAAAGAAAAATAGGTAAATGTGTGGCATACATGTGCCATACAGCAATTAACGTAAGGAAGGAAAGATCGACGAGGAGTAAAAGAGAGAGAAAGAGAACGAGAGAGAGAGAGAGAGAGAGAGTAAAATACGAGAGAGAGAGAGAAAGAGAAAGAGAGAGAAAACAAATAGAGAGAGAGAGAGAGAGAGAAAGAGAGAGAGAGAGAGAGAGAAAAAAAAAAAAAACGAGAGAGAGAGAGAAAGAAAGAAAGAGAGAGGGGGAGAAATAAAGAAAGAGAGAGAGAGGGAGAAAACAAAGAAAGAGAGGGCGCGGGGGCCACCGCAGCCGCAGCGCAGCGCCCCGACGACGAGACCACGGAAAAACTCTTGCACGCGGTGCGCAAGGCCGTCGAGCAAACCCCGCAGAGGTCTGGCCCGGGCCCCAACGGCTCCCGCTTCGAGCACTGGAAGACGCTCCTTGCCGATTCCGCCGCGCTCGAGGCGAACTGCCGGATGGCTGTGGCCTTCCTCCTCGGCGTCCCCCCCCCCGACTTCACTGCGGCCAACTTGGGAGCCCGACTGGTCGCGTTGCGGAAGAAAAACAGGGAACTGCGGCCGGTGGCGTGCGAGAGCGTCCTCCGCAGGCTGGCGGCGAAGGCGGTTTGCGAAGTCCTCAAGGAGGAGCTGAAAGATGCGCGCGGCCCCCACCAGTTCACGGTCGAGGGCGGGCTGCGAGCGGGTCCACAAAATGCGTCATCACTTTGGCCGAAGCGATGCCGGGGGCCGCTGTCCTGGCCTTTGACGCTACTAACGCTTTCAACGCCTTACCCTGGCAAGCGGTGCTTGACGCACTGGGCCGCCGGGCGCCGAGCCTCCTCCCTGTCGCCAACGCCTGGCTGACGAGGCCGACGACGCACCTCTTCTGGGACAATCGCGGCACCCCCATGCCCGCGTCGGCCCAGACAGGCGTCGATCAGGGCTGTCCGCGCAGCCCCGCCTTCTTCGCGATAGGAATCGCCGACGCCCTGGCCCGCGCTCACGACCGCCTGCAACAACTGAGCCCCGCCTCCCGCCTTGTCTCCTACCTGGACGACGTGCTCGTGGTCGTGCCGGCGGCGGCCGCCGCTCAGGCCCACGACGTCGTGCAGGAAGAGATGGCCCGAGCCGGCCTTGAGCTTAACGCGAACAAGACCAAGGTATGGACCGCCAGCCCCGCCACTGCGATCCGTCCCGAGCTCGCGCCGCTCCGGACCGCCACCCTGTCCGTCCTGGGGAACCCGGTCACGTGGTACGACCGCGACGAGGAGGACGACTGTCCCTCCTGGCCCCTTCCGATGGCCGAGAGGTCCTGGACAAGACGCGACAATTCCTGGCCCACTGGAGAACGCTGCGCCAGCACGGACTTTCGGCGGAAGGGGCCCACGCGCTGCTCCGCACCTACGCCCAGGGCTGCTGCACCGACCTGCTGCCCGCGAACTACGAGACCGCCTGGGTGGGGGAGCTCGACGACTTGCTCTTTGGGGCCTACGCTGAGCTGACCGGGCCCTTGAGCAACGAGCAGAAGGAGTGGCTCACCCTCCGCCTCAAGGACGGTGGCAACGGCTTCCCGTCGGCCCGAGAGACCGCCGCTCGCGCCTACCTCGGTAGCTGGGCGTTCTGCTTTCGGGGCGTGGCAGCCTGCCTCGGAGCTCCCTCGGCGGAATCCGTCCGCTCCCGCTGCCCCCAGACGGCAGACGCTTGGCGCCGCGCCGAAGCGGAGCTTGACCGGCAGGAGGCGAAGGCCGAACCCTTGGACTGGGCAGCCCTCTTGGCCGAGCCCAAGACCAAACAGCAGGGGTATTGGGGGAAGAGAACCTCCTTCGCCAGACGAGCGCGGCTCCTAAGGACGCTGGACGAGGATGGCCAAGTCGCACTACACGGAGCTGGAGAGCGACGCGCCTCTCCCAGACGCCCACTTTCTGGCCAACCTGCGCATGCGCCTCAGCTGCGACGTGTGCGCCCCGGGCGCGCGCTGCCAGCACCGCAAACAGGACGGAACGCTCTGCGGGGAACTGCTGGACACCAACGGCTGGCACGCCCGAAAGCGCGGGTGTGGGGGCAGCAGGGACTCCAGGCACAACTCCCTGCGCGACTGGAGCGCGCTCTGGCGCTACGCTCAGACGGGCCACAGGGCCACGACCGAGCAGCGTGTCCCTGCCTGGGATCGCCAGCACCCCGACACTGGAGTGTGGGAGGAGGCCATCCTCGACGCGGCCACGCGCGACCCCGCAACCAACTCCCTGGTCTATGTGGACTGGTCCGTTACCTGCGAACACAGCGACAACGACGCTCGCAGGCAGGCCAGGGCCCGCACGAACGGGGTGGCGGCGGCACAAGCGGTCGACAGGAAGCGGGCGCGCTACCCCCCTTCCGGCGGGGAGTTCATTCCGGCTGTCTTGGAGTCGGGTGGCCGGCCAGCCGACGAGTTGGTCGCCTTCGTCCGCTCTTACGGCCAGGACTTACTGGAGGCCGAGCGGTCGGGCGTGATTTCCGCCACCTGGAGGAAGATCCAACGCTGTTTGACTTTCGGCAGCGCGGAGATGCTGCTTAGTGCGGTGCGAGCAGCGAAACAGCCCCTCTACCACCCTCAGCGCGACCACCGCGCCCACCACCACGACCACAACTAGCACGCCACCGCGTCCACCTCGACCTAGCCGACGACAACCACGGCGACAACGAACACCACGACCACTCGAACGACGATCACCGCGACCACCACGACCACCGCCAGCCCGCCGACCACCACGACCACCACGACTTGCGCGACCTGCCCCACGACCACGACCTTCACCACAACCCCAACGACGACCGCCACGACGACCGCCGCCTGCCGACTTCCCCCGCCCCTGGCCCCGTCCCCCTCTCCCTCCCTTCCCCATGCCTTGCCGCCCCTGCCGCAGCGCGCCCCTCCGCTTTTCCTCCCCCTCCCTCCTCCTCCTCCTCCTCCTCCTCCTTCTCCTCCTTCTCCTCCTCCTCCTCCGCCTACCTGGCGCCGATAAATTCGAGCGGCTCGCGGGGCACCGGCCCTGCGGGCAGACGATGGCCTTCCGGCTGCCCTGGGGGCCCCCTGCGGGGGTGCCAGTCCTTCCTGGAGGGAGGGAGCCCCTGGGGCCGAGGCGAGAGAGAGAGAGAGAGAGAGAGAGAGAAAAAAAAAAAGAGAAAGTGAAAGAGAGAGAGAGAGAGAAAGAGAGAAAGCCGGGCAGCACACCCGCCTTTTATGGCGCGCCTTCCTCCTCCTGCGCCTCCTCCTCCGCTTCCTCCTCCTCCGTCTCCTCCTCCTCCTCCTCCTCCTTCTCCTCCTCCTCCTCGTCCTCCTCCTCCTCCTTTTCCTCCTCCTCCTCCTCCGTTTCCTCCTCCGTCTCCTCCTTCTTTTTTTTCTTGGGCAAGCTGCAAGGCACCAGCCTGTAGCGTACGCCTCCTCCTCCTCCTCCTCCTCCTCCTCCTCCTTCTCCTCCTCCTCCTCTTCCTCCTCCTCCGTCTCCTCCTGCTGCTGCCTCGGCCACGGCGTGGCTGCGCGGCGGCGCCCGCGCCCCAGGACAGCCTGCTCAGCGCCAGCCCCAGCGCGCAGCAGGTCAACGCGGGGGCCTCGGCCTCGCGCCCCGGAAGAGTGCCCCGGCCGGCCCGCGCTCGGGGAGCAGGACATTGCTACCCTCGAGTCGGGCATAGCCCTCGCTTAGCTGCCTCGATGCGCCCGTCTTGATACGCAACACGTGCCGTGTTCAAAACGTCCTTGTCAATACGTTGCGTGTTGGCTTCACGTATTGGCCCACGTTTTGGCGAACGTACCGCTTCAGACCTACGTGTTCAGTCTACGTGTTGAGATCCGTATCAATAGTTGCGTGTTGCGTATCGGGGCAGCTAAGACCCCTCGAGCTCTACAGGAGGAGTATCCAGAAATAGTCAAAAAACAGTCGGGAACGATTCCCCTTCAATTTTTGCATGTGGTTGCATACTGTTTGGCTCTTTGTCATGATTCGTCCAAAATCCGCCTGTAGGAGGACATGCCCGACCTAATGCTACCCAGGGGCAGACTCAGGGAAGTATTGGGCTCAGGGGGGGGGGATGATGCATCAACCCCCAATCGCCCACTGATCGCCGGTAGGGGCCTGACAGTCCCATCCCGCCCAGGGACGTGCGGATGTGCAACCGAGGGCTTATCGCCGACCTATCGGCGGAGTATCGCCGATTCTGGGTCGACGTTCCCCTCTGAGCCATTCCCCCCTTTATCGTTGCCCCGTAGCGACCCACCAAATCACCCCAACCCAACGCGAAGGCCCCAACTCGACCTCCATTCCCGCTGGGGATGGGACATCCCAGAACATTGAAAGATACAGGTGTAGCCCGTACGCCCCACAACCCGAGGTTTGGGACTTCGGGTTGGGTTGGCGTGGTGTGGCAGGTAGGAGGGAGGGAGGGAGGGATGGACCCCAACTCCTCTCGTCGCGAAAAAATCACGAAAGGAGGTTTTTGACAGTTTTCTGCTTTTGGGGGCTCTTGCCTGGCTCTGGGGCCGTCAAAAACAACCTACTACCCTCGACAGGATTACTATCAAAAATGTGTCACGCAGTTTCCTCGTCGATGTGATGTCGCGGGCTTGGGCGACATTGCGCACAAGGTACGCTTGTTGGCGCATCCATCTCCAATGTCGGTCATCGTGAAACTCCCGAATCGCGCCCGCCCAGGCCACGTTCCGAACTGCTTCGACATTGAAGGGGGCGACACTGAAGGGGCGAAAGGGGTTGACATTGAAGTGGCGCGTCAACCACTTTTGATGTTACTTTTGTCGAGGGCTGCAGGACGAACAGCGGGTCCCCGGGGGAGGGTTCCAGACCCCTGGGGGCCCACGCTGTGCAAAAATCACGACTTCAGAGTTCTGGGAAGGGAGAATGGATGGGGATGCCGGTGATGTCGGCGGTAGCGGTGATTTATGGTGGTGGCGGTGGTGACCAGGATAGGGGGGAGTAGCAAGGCGAGGAGAAGATGTGGATATTTGTGATGCTGATGATGGTGGTAGTTATAATTATGATGCTAATGCTGATGCTGCTGATGATGATGATGTTGTTGATGGCGATGATGCCGATGATGCTGATGGTGGTGGTGATGATGATGGTGATGGTGATGGTGATGATGATGATGATGGTGATACTTATGATGGTGAGGATAAGGATGATGGCGATGATGATGATGATGATGATGATGATGATGATGATGGTGATGGTGATGACGATGGTGATAATGATGATGCTGATGATGATTATGATGATGGTGATGATGGTAATAATGGTGATCATAATGATGATGCTGACGTTGATGGTGATGATGATGTTGACGATGACGATGGCGACGGCGATGATGATGATACGACTGATGATGATGATGATGACGATGATGATGAGGATGATGACGACGATGATGATGGTGATGATGATGATGATGATGATGATGCTGGTGACACCGATGATGGCACTGGGCAGGACGAGGACACTGATGTGATGATGCGAACGGCGATGGTGATGATGCTGATATTGATGATGATGATGATGATGATGATGATGATGATGATGATGATGATGGTGGTGGTGATGATGATGATGATGGTGGTGATGATGATGATGATGATGATGATGGTGATGATGATGATGTTGATGATGATGATGATGATGATGATGATGATGATGCTGATGATGATGATGATGATGATGATGATGATGATGATTATGACCATGATGATCACGATGGTGATGAGCAGGATGATGGGGAGGAGAAGGAGGAGGAGAAGGGGCGGCCTCCTCCTGCCCATCCTCTTCCTCTTCCTCATCCTATTCCAGCCCAGCTTCCCTTTCACCAAGGATTCCTTTCGTCGTTGCCCGTAGCCTTCCCCCCCGCCCTCGCGTCGTCGTCCTCTTCCTACTTCTCCATATCCTTTTCTTTAAGTTCCTCTTCCTGTTTCTCTTTCCCTTCCACCCGTTTTCCTTACAAATGATTCCTCACTGTCGCGCCAACCAGACGTGTCGGTAGGGCAGGCCAGGCGTTTCGCTGTAGACTTCTCCACCATGTATGATCTTGAGACTTGAATTTGCAGCAGATTCACGGCTGGAGGGCGGGTCGTTTACAAAATGTGGTTCTCGCTTCAGCCGCCGCGCGCATCCGTCTTAAATGCATGCAACCATTTCACGGATAGAGGGCGGGCCGTTTTGAACATGTCGTTTTCGCTTCAGCCGCCGCGCGCATCGGTCTTACAACCGTGCAGCAGAATCAAGGATCGAGGGCGGGGCGCTTTACAAATGCGGCTCTCGCTTCAGCACCGTGCACGTCTTAACAGTTGAACATGTTTCAAGCATGTTCTTGAACATGTGGTTCTCGCTGTAGCGCCGCGCACATTCATTTTGAAAGTTTGCACCAGTTTCAAGGGGCTGCATGGCTGAAGTCCCATGAACAGTGTCCTAGCACGATTTTTTGATTGTCAGGACGCAGCAGTCACGTTGATTCGCGGTGTTGAAATCCCAGCAATGGTGTTCTGGCACGATTTAGGGTTGCCAGGACGCAACAGTAACGTTGATTCACGGCGTGCAGGAATGATGTTTGGGCACCGTTCAAGATTTTCAGACGGTCTTCCCGCAATGAGCGCAATTTTGTAGGGACCTATGCGGAGGTAACCAAACAGGTTTATTGCAACATCGTTGATGCGTCTTGTGTTTACACTGGTCCTCCTCTTCCTCCTCTTCCTCCTCCTGCTCTATCCTCATCCTCGTCCCATATATCCTTTTCTGCCTCGTCCTCGTGTCCTCCCCCTCTTACTCTCCGTCGCTTCGATCGTGTTCTATCTGACACTCGCCTGGTGGACGCACCACGGAGGCTTCCGCGATAGTTCCTAGAGGTGAGCTTCTCGTTGTTCGCCTCGCACTCCAAGCGTCCACGTGCGCCACAAAGCCATCTTACGCTGGTGGGAGCGGCGGGCCAGCAAGGAAGGGCAAGAACCGCAGTGAGGATTTCTGGCTTCGCGCGCGCGCGCCATGCGTGTCGGAGCAGGGGCTCAGGCACCTTGACGGTCACATGGGTGCCCTCCCCCCAGGGTGACGAGGAGGAGGAGGAGGAGGAGGAGGAGCAGGAGCAGGAGCAGGAGCAGGAGCAGGAGGAGGAGGAGGACCGCGGTCGTGATATTTTCCTGGCCACAGGCGATCGCAGACGCCTGGGCTAAGTCCGCGGCGGACCGATGCGGACCGTGCCTTCCAACGCGCCGTACAGCCCAGCCTATCCCAGCCACTGACGTCTGCGACGCCACGGCCGCTCTCGCCCAACAGAGGGACAGGGCGACTCTCAAGGCCACCGGCCCTGCTTCCGAGCCTCGGGGTGTCTGGCCTCAACTGTCCTGTCCTCCCCCGCCTCCTTCCTCGAGGCTCCACCGGGCCATCCCGCAGCTCCAACACGGGCTCCAGAGGTGCACACTGTTCATCGCTTATTCTTCAGAAGTTCTTTGAACATTGGGGGGGCCAAAGATCCTGTCATTTCTAATTGTTCTGTCCTGGGACTCTTCCCGGCCACTAGGGGGCCAGGAACAATTAGAAACGAGCACAATAAGAAACGAGCGCGATTAGAAATGAACGACGTGTGCGCGGATAAATGGATACTCTCGAGTAGTAACCAGTTGTTTGACCGTGCTTCCGTGCCGGAGGCGGCGGCCCCGCTCTTGCGAGCCGCTCGACCTTGCCAGAGGTCTCTCAGGAGAGTCGCCCCTGTCTTCCAGCGACGTGCCCAGTGGATCACCAGCGGTCGCACTGCACGTCCGCCCATGCCTCCGTGCGTCCCATTGTGGCTATACGTTGGGAAACGAACAATGACATAAACATGAAAACTCGGAGGTCCGCGCGGATTTCTCGAATCGGCGCTGGACCCCCCTCCCTGGCGCGCGGAGCGCGCCAGGGGCGGCGCCGGAGGCGCCGCCGGGGGGCCCCAGCGCCGATCGGAGAAATCCGCGCGGACCTCCGAGTTTTTATGTTTATGTCACTTTTTGTTCATCTCAAGCTGGCCGATGGAATGCCCGAGAGAGCCGCCGCCGCAAGGCTCGGACAGTCTCTCGAGGCTCCCGCCGAGGACCCCTCCGCCCGTCTCGCCGTTGCGGGCCCTCGAGGCCCGCCCGTGCAGGCCTCTGCGCGCTTCGGCGACCGAGCGGGCCGCCTCTGCGAGCAGGAGCTGGCAGCAGCCTCCTCCTCCTCCTCCTCCTCCGCCTCCTCCTCCTCCTCCTCCTCCTCCTCCTCCTCCTCTCCTCCTCCTCCTCCTCCTCCTTCCTCCTCCTCCTCCTCCTCCTCCTCCTCCTCCTCCTCCTCCTCCTCCTCCTCCTCCTCTCCTCCTCCTCCTCCCTCCTCCTCCTCATCCTCCTCCTCCCTCCTCCTCCTCCTCCTTCCCTCCTCCCTCCTCCTCCTCCTCCTCCTCCTCCTCCTCCTCCTCCTCCTCCTCCTCCTCCTCCTCCTCCTCCTCCAGCTCGCATGGTCCCGCCGCCCTGGCGCCGCCTCCAGACATGCCGGCGGCGGCGGCGGCATCGTCAGCAGCGCCGGTGGGGCGCCCCGCCGCGGGCTGCGGGCAGGGACATCGCCGCCCCGACCGTGTGCAAAGCGAGGGCTTGATGGGCGCCCCGCCAGATAGTTGTTTTTCTTTGTTCGGACGGTGGTCCGACAGATCCAACAGATCCTCCTCCTCCTCCTCCTCCGCCTCCTTCGCCTCCTCCTCCTCCTCCTCCTCCTCCTCCTCCTCTTCTGTCTCTCCATCTCTCTCTTCCCCTCCTCCTCTCCTCTCCCTTCCCCCCTCCTCCTCACCCCTCCTGCCCCCTCTCCCGCCCTCCTCCCGCGACAGATCCCTGGTCCCCCCCCCTCTCCCTCGCCAGCCCCCCTGAGTAAGAGGGAGGTGGAGGAGGGAGGACGGAGGGGGGAGGGAGGTTCGATCGATCGACCGGAGGTGTGGTTGAGGTCAGCGTGCTCGATTATCAAAAAACCTGCGGGCGAGCGACCCTGACCCAGGCAGGTGAGAAGCAGAAAGGTGAGACATCGCACCTGGGACAGGCGGACGGCCACTGCCGCGAAGAAAAGCTGCACGCTTCAGCACAGAAAGGACAGAACCAGGCAGCCATGGCGAGGAGGCGTGGGAGGCTCGAAGGCCCGAGAGGGCGTGCGCCAATCCAGCCTGGAGGGGAGGGGAAAAGGAAGGGAACATAGACAAGCACTGCAATTGCAACTTGGCGAAGAGGCCATAGACCAATCAAGAAGTAGCAGGCGGCCAGCTCGAATGCTGCCAATGCATGGGCGGCAGTACAGCAACACATCCTGCAATGCAGAGATGAACATCCGACTCTAAGTCACACAAAGTGGAAACGTGCACCTGAGCGGGGCAACGCCGAAGCAAAGAAAAGGCCTCGATCATGTAATGTCCAACAAAGCAGCGAGCCTGAGCGACACGAGATCAGAAGCACCGAGGGGCAAAGGGGGAGACCCAGACGGGAGAGCGGGCAGACCGAAAGCCCCTGACTGGAAGGCAGGTTTGGGCATGCTGCGGCGGCACATTCATCATATGCGGAATCGAGCAACAGAAGCTTGAAGCAACATAGAGACCAATGCAATGACAGACAAGCTCGAATACGCACTGCCTGATGGAAAGCAAGGCCCTGTCAGCACAGACCGAGGATAACTGTGCAACGCAGAAGGCGCAAGCCACAGGGGCGACCCACAAGCAGAGAACCTTGGCAGACCTACAGCAAGCCGGGCCCAACAGGCAACACATAAAACGCAGCTGAAGAAGAGGCCTGAAACGAATGAACAGGCACTGAGTAGTGCAGGACAATAGTTAGCTGGCCTTGCTGTCTGGCATCAGAAAAACGCCAGGATACGCTGGAGATCTGCGATCGAACCAAGCAACATGAGCATCCTTCTCGTGCAGGAGAGCGAATTCGATACAGCAAGGCTGGCGCTGAAACCACTTGCCTGCTTTCCACATCTCGGCACTGCGCCAGCGGCCATCGTACGAGATATGCCCACTGTGGTGGCACGCAGGAGGCTGGTTGGGAATGCACCTGAGTCAATGGAACCAGCCAGTGTTAGCTCGCGAAACAGGCCAAGACCTACCAGCACACGACTGGCAGCTGGTAGGCTGAACTGGGTCTGAGGCACGCTCGCCTGGCGTTCCCGCATCCCGTTGGGGCGGCTGGTCGTCCCTAGACGCGTCAAGAGCCTCCCGAGAGGGAAGGGGGGGACGCTCTTGCTCTGGCAGAGCGCCGTAGTGAACGGCGATTTCGTAAGTGAGGCCCGCCCTCCTTGCCCGAAGGTAGGCGTTCATGCCGCCTTCTGTGAACTTCCGATGCGCCCTAGCATTGGCGCAATGGCTCTCCAGCAACCAGTGCTCGCGAGGAGGAGGAGGCAACTCCTGATATGTTGCTTTGGAGCGGTGGTCCTTGTCGGCCTCGCTCTGCAAACTTGTGGATCTGGAGCGCGACCGGGGGCGACCGACAATAGCAGGTACAGGGGAGGGTTGGGGCCGAATGAACCGACGAAGCCGTGTGTCAGCGGTGCGACTAGCCTGCGGAGAGGAAGCGCCAGCTTGCATGACGACAAAACTGTCAGCATAAGCTACGAGAGCATGGCGCCTGGCATCACTCTCATTGGGAGGGCGATGGTGCATCGGTGGAGGCGACTGGGGGCCGACTCACGTGGACAGGCGAGGGACCAGTTCCTTTCGCAGCACTTTGGCTTTCGAGTGCATCACTGGCGGTCCGAGAGGAGGACAGGCGCTGCCACCTGTCGAGACGGCGATGCGCGACATGGACGTCCGCAACACTTGGAGACGGAGCACTGATGGCCTTGACAGTGCATCCCACAGCGTTGACCAAACCAAAAGTCCCCAGGCGGAGGCGGCACTGGTCGAGACGAGTGCTGCGCAGTTGCTGGACCTGCTCCCAGAACCTCCACTGCTCCACTGGTCCTCACCGAAGGAGAGACCGGTAATCACCCGTACTTGCTCGAGCGAAAGCGGGGGAGGCACGAGGATGCCAGGACAGTGAGCACCCTCTTCGAGCGGCGCACGAACAGCCACGGCGTGACGTCTGGGCGGGGAAGGCGGCGGCGGACAGCGCGGAGGATCTGGAGGAAGATCGACTAGACGTAAGAGTAACCTTTCGCTGGAGTGACCTTTGGTGCGGGCACAGATGGGCCCCCAGATCGCTGAAAACGAGGCAGGAGCAGCGGCTTGCGCGCCTAGGTTTGGCCCCCCCTTGGCCCCCAGAAAGCCGCGCACCAAAGGTCACTTCTCGCGTGTAGCCGAGAAGAGCCGGGGGAGGCGGCGGCGCCGTGGTTTGCGACAGCGGCGGAGGCGGAGGCAGACAACAGCCTCCCAACGCCTGCACGGCGCGGTCGCTCTGCGGCGAGCGGCGCGCTGGGCCGATGCTGGAAAGGACAGCTCGTGCTCGGAAGGGCGACACGGCTGCGGCTGCGGCTGCGGCTCGCGCCTCGAGGAGGGAGGAGGAGGACGAGGAGGAGGAGGAGGAGGAGACGGAGGAAGGGGAGGAAAAGGAGGAGGAGGAGCTCCAAGTCCTCGCCTTCCGTGGGTGGCCCGAGAGAAACGCCGGAGGAGCCTGCAGCCCCCACCACACCGCCAGGCCCTCACGCCTCGACGGACGACGACGTCGACGTCGTCGACGACGACGACGGCCACGACGACGACAACGATGACGACCACGACGACGACGACGACGACGAGGACGAGGACGACGGCGGCGGCGGCGGCGACAACGACCACAACGACGACGGCGGGCGGCGACGACGACGACGACCACAACCACGATGACGACGAATGACCACGACGAACGAAGTCGGCGACGACGACGACGGCGACGGCGGCGACGACCACAACGACGACAACGACGACGATCACGGCAACGACGACCACAACGACGACGGCGACGAGGACGACGACGACCACGACCGTGACCGTGACCACGACCACGACCACGACCACGACCACGACCACGACCACGAGGACGAGCGACGGCTGTGGCGGCGGCGGCGGCGGAGGCAGCAACGACGACGGCGACGGCGACGGCGGCGGCGACGACCACGACGACGACGACGACGACGACGACGACGACTCCGACCACGACCACGACCATGGCCACGACCAGGACGAACGATCACAACGAACGGCGGCGGCGGTGGCGACGACGACCGCGGCGGCGACGGCGGCGGCTGCGACGACGTCGGCGACGACGACGACGGCGATTACGACGACAACGTCAGTAACGACGACCAGGACGAACGACCATGACTACGACCAGGACGAACGACCACGACGAACAACGGCGGCGACGGTAACGGAAAAGCGACGACGACGACCACGACGACGACCACGACCACGACGACGACGACGACGACCACGACGGCGAGGACGACGACGACGACGAGCGACGGCGGCAGTTGCGAAGACGACGGCAACGTCGACGACGACGGCGACGGCGGCGACGACGATCACCACCACGACTGTCACGACGACGGCGTCGACCGCGAGCACGACCTCGACCACGACCGCGACAGGGACGACGACGACGATGCCGACCGCGCAATGCGGCGAAACGTCGACATGGACTTCGACGACGACGATGCACGACCACGAGCACGACCTCGACCACGATCGCGACTCGACAACGACCGCGACCACGACTGAACGACGGCGGCGATGGTGACGACGAACGACGGCGGCGGTGACGACGACAACGACGGCAACAACGACGTCGACGACGACGACGGCGGCGACGACCACGACCACGACGACGACGACGACGACGACGACGACGACGACGACGGCGCCGGCGGCGACGACGACGGCGGCCGGCGACCACGACCACAACGACGACGACACCGATGAAGCAGACGACGACCATGATCACGACCACGACGAACGACAACGTCGACGATGACGACGGCAACGACGACGACGACCACGATGATGACGACCACGACGGCGACGGCGACGCGCGGCGGCCGCGGCTGCGAGGACGACGATGGCCACGACGACGACGACCACGACGATGACGAAGACGACGACGGCGACGACGACGTGGCCGACGACCGCGGCCGCGGCGACGAAAGGAGTGTCGACGAACGTCGGCGGCCGCGGTGACGACGACGACCACCACGACGACGACCACGACGACAAAGGCCTTGGCGGCGGTGGTGGCTGTGGCGACGACCGCGACGACGTCGACGACGACGACGTCGACGACGACCACGGTGAACGACGGCGGCGGCGGACGGCGACGACGATGACGGCGACGACAACGACGACGATCAAGACGACGACGATGACGACGACGACCACGACGTCGACGATTCCGACGGCGACGGCGGCGACGACGAAGAACGACGGCGACGGTGGTGGACGGCGGCGACCACGACGACGACTACGGCGACGATGACGACGACGACGATTACGACTACGACGACGACGATTCCGACGACGACGACGAACGGACTCTGGTTGCGACGACGACGACGACAATGACGACGACCAGTACGACCACGACGACTACGACGGCTATGACGATGATGGCGACGACCACGACGGCGACGGCCACGACGACGACGTCGACGGTGATTACGACGAACACACGAGCGCGCGAGCGAGTGAGCGAGCGGGCGAGCGAGCGGCGAATACGACGACGACGACCACGACGGCGGCGGCGATGAACTCGACGACAACGACGACGACGATCACGACGGCGACGATGACGACGACGGCGATGGCATCGGTGGCGGGCGACGGCAACGACGAGAACGACCACGACGACGATCACGACGACGACGACGGCGACGACCACGACGACGACGACGACGACGACGACGGCGGTGGTGGCGGCGGCGTGCGACGGTGGCGGTTGCGACGACGACGACGACCACGACGATGAGAACGACGACGACCACGACGACCACAACGATCACGACGGCGATGCTGACGACGACGACGACCACGACGACGACGACGGCAGCGGTGGTGGTGTCGGTTGTGACGATGACGGCGCCGGCGGCGACGGCGACGACCACGACGTCGACGACCATCACGACGACCATGGCGACGACGACGACGGCGGTGGCGGCGGCGACGTCGACGAAGACGGACACGACAACGACGACGCCGACGACGACGACCAAGACCACGACGTCGACCACGACCACGACCACGGCCTCGACCACGACCACGGCCACGACGATGACGACCACAACCTCGGCGACGACGAACGGCCAAGACGAACGAAGCCGGCGGCGATGACGACGACGGTGACGACGACGACGGCGACGAACGCCGACGACGACGAACGATGGCGCCGGCGGCGACGACGACTGCGACGGCAACGACGACGTCGGTCACGAGGACGACGACCACCACGACGACGACGACGACGAGGACGGCCACGATGACGCCGACGACGATGACGACGAAAAACGATGGCGGTGGCGGCTGCGACGACGACGACGAGGGCGACGGCTGTGACGACGACGACGATGATGACGTTGGTGGCGGCGGCGACGAAGACGACGACCACGACCACGACGACGAAGGCGATGGCGACGGCGGTGGCTGCGACGACGACGGCGACAACGACGACGACGGCGACGACGACGACAGCGATGACGACGGTGGTGGTGGCGACGGCAACAACGACAACAACGACAACGGCGACCACGACGAACGTCGGCTGCGGCGACGACGAAGACGACCACGACCACGACCACGACGACGAGGGCGGTGGTCGACGATCTCGACGACGACGATGAAGATGAAGATGACGATCACGGCCACGACCACCCCGAGACGACGACTATGACGACGACTGCGATGGCGACGGCGACGGCGACGGCGACGACGACGACGACGACCACGACTGCGACCTCGACGACGACAACGACGACGATCGTAACAAACGATGGCGTCGGCGGCGGACGGCGACGACGACGACCACGAGGACGATGACGACGACGACGACCACGACGACGACGTTGACGACGACGACGACGACGGCGACGACGACATCGACGACGATGATGACGACGAACGACGGTCGACAGCGGCGGTGGCGGTGGCGACGACGACGACGACCGCGACGGCGGCGACGACCACGACGACGATGACGGCGGCGACGACGACGGTGGCGACGACGACGACGACCACGACGACGACGGCGACGACGATGGCGGCGGCTGCGGCGACGGCGTCGACAACGACGACGATCACGGCGATGAGGCGGTTGGCGGCGGCGACAGCGACGACGACGACGACGAATACATTTGAGACGACGACGTCAGCGACAACGACGACGAATGGTGGGGTGATGGTGGCGGACGGCGAGGACGATGACGACGGCTACGACAACGACGACGACGACGATGACCACGACGACGACGTCGATGACGACGGCGAGGACGATTGCGACGACGATATCGACGACGACGAATGACGGCGGTCGGCTGTGGAGGCGGCGACAACGACGTCGACGGCGACCACGACGACGACGGCGACAACACGACGACCACGACGACGACGACGACCACGACGACGGCAACGACGACGACGACGACGACGACCACGACGTCGACGACGACAATCACGACGTCGACCACGACCACGACGACCACGACGACCACGACGACCACGACGGCTACGAAGACGGCGACGACGACCACGACAACAAGGACGACGACGACGACGGCCGCGTAGGTGGCGGCGCTGGCGACGACGACGAACGACGGCGGTGGCGGCGGCGGTGGGCTACGACGGCGGCGCCGGCCGCTCCGGCGGCGACGACGCCGGTGGCGCTGGCGGTGGCGGTTGCGGCGGCGACGACGACCACAACGTCGACGACGACGACGACGACGACGACCATGACCAAGACGACCTCGACGACGACGATCACGACGACGACGAGGACGACGGTGGTGGCGGCGGCGGCCGCCCGAGGCCCGGACGCAGAAAGCCCGCCGCGTCCGGGCGGTGCCGCTGCCCGCCGCGGCGGCGGCTGGCGCGGTGGCGGCGGCGGCCGCGGCGGCGGCGCCCGCGCCCCACGCGGCCGCCGGCGCGGCGGCCGGCGCGGTGGCGGCGTTCGCGCCGCCGCCGCGGGCCGCCCCCGCGCCGGGGTCGCCTGCGGCCGGACGCGGGCCGCCGCCGAGAGCGTTTCCGGGGGCCGCGCGGCTCAGCCGCTCGGTCGGCGCGGCCGGCGCGGGGTCGTCGTCGGAGTCGTCGTCGCCGCCGCCGCCGCCGCCGCCGCCGTCTTCGTCGGAGTCGTCGGTGTCGTCGTCGTCGTCGTCGTCGTCGTCGTCGTCGTCGTCGTCGTCGTCGTCGTCGTCGTCGTGTCAGTCGTCGTCGTCGTTGGTCGTCGGGGCTGCGCAACGGCGGCCGATGGGCCTTCTCGTCGCAGGGGCCAGTCGCGGGATTGGGCCCCAGTCGGCGCAAGGGGTTAGGCGACATGGCCCGTGCCTCCAACGCAGGCGGTGCCATGGGGTCGCCGCCGCCGCCGCAGGGCCATGGGGAGTCGGCACGACCAGGAAGCTGGGTACACATGGCGTGGGCAGCCCGGCCAAGAGCTGGACCGCATGCGTCTCCAGCGCTCGGCCCTTACCCAGACCCGGTAGTTGGCGTTTGCTCAACGGCCCTGGGCACTTACTAAACAGCCCCGCCCTGTTAGATTCCTTCTCTGGGTGGCTTCGCGTGTCGGGGTGATTATTCTGAGGGTGGATTCTTTGCCACCCACCTATGGTCAGACACCAGGTGTGTGTCCGGTGGTGGGCCCCCCAGACGATCCTCTTGCGAATCCAGCCGTGCGCGTTGCCAGCTTCTTGGGTGGTGGGGCGTCGCCAGCTCCTCCCTGGAGGGGGGTGTCGCCAACTCCTCCTGAGGGTCGAAGTTCGATGATGGAAGGGGTTTCCCGACGACTTCGTGCTTTGAGTTTCTGGGGTGTTCTGGGAGTCCTGAGGGGTCTGTTCTCGAGAAGAGGCGGTGACACCCCTCTTCGTGACCTCCCTTTGGTATTGCCCAGCCGGCGTCCTGGCAAGGTCAGGGCTATCAGGTTTCCGCCACTTCGGCTCTCGGGGGCGTCTGTCGGACTCACGGCCCGATCCGTCTGCAGGGTGTCGCCAGGTGGGCGCGGAGGGGAGGCGCGGAGTCGCCCACCTCCTCCTTTTCGTTCCCGTGGGAGTGCACGTATCAGGAGGGGGAAAAACACACAGACACACGTCACCGTCGACTCCCACGAAAATGTGGCAAAATATGGGAAGTGGGGGGAAGCCAGAAACCCAGAAAATATGGGAAATGTGGGGAATCCTGTTATTTGTGTGTGTTTATTTGTGTGTCCCGGGGCCCCTTCAACGTAGGCGGGATGGGATCGAGAAGAGCGTCCGGAGGACGAGAGCGTGCGCGTGCGTGCGGTGGGCTGTCGAGCGCAGCCCTCTCTTGGGCCGGGGGCCGCCGCAGTCGCCCTCGCCCCCGTCCGGCGCAGCTCAGCACACTGAGGCACCCGAGGTCGGGGAGGGGCAAAGTGCTTAGCTGCCTCGATACGCCCGTTTTGAAACGCAACATGTCCTGTGTTCAAGACGTCCGTGCCAATACGCTGCGTGTTGGCTCCACGTATGGGACCATGTTTTGGCGAATGTAGCGCGTCAGACCTACGTTTTCAGCCTACGTGGTGAGCTCCGTATCAATTCGCTACTAACATGTTGCGTGTTACGTATCGGTGCAACTAATTGATCCGGTGGGACAGCGGATGTTCCCGTCGTTGCGACCCATCGGGCTCGCGCGATAGCAAAGTCCGTAGTGCCCTCTCCATTAATTGTCTCTCCTCGCTCTCAGGCGGCAAGAGCAGGGTGCCGGAGCACTGGCTTTCAGAGTACCATCGGGGGGTAGTAAGGAACCGCTTTGGGGAGCGCCCAACTCAGCTCAACTCCTCGTTCTCCTTGTTTTTCTTTTACCCTCTGTGGCCCTTCTCGTCGCCGCCTCCAGGCGCCGCGCGGCCCGGCCCTTTCTCTCTGGCAGCTTTCGACAGGTGTCTATCGGAGGGCAGGCAGACTCCACGGTAGAAGGGTCCAGCAAACGCGGTTTGGGTGACAGGGCCGCTGAGAGGGGTGAGGCGCGCGTGAGCCCGCCCCGCTCTGGAGACAAGAGCCCCGAATAGGGTCGAGGTAGCGCTAGACTTCCCCCCCTTCCTCCCTGCCGCTACGCCACCTGTGCGAGTTGACGACCTGGTTGCAGCGCTCCACGACCTTGAGTACCTGCACGAACCTCCATACCTGGAACGGCCATGGAGGGACAACGTCGCCCGAATGGTTTCAGATTCATCCGTGATGGAGGCGCTTTGGCCAGTCGGTTGCATAATCTCGGGCGACTATTGTGGCACCGAATTTCCAGAGCATGGCCTAGGGAGGCAACCGCAGAGATGAGTGGATCGCTTATGCTAGCGCCAGAGACACTCGGCAGCAGCAAGGCAGGGACAGCCGTGACTACTGATAATATGATGATGCTTGGAAACGTGATGGTGATGGTTGTTGTGTTGGTGGTAGTGATGGTGCTGGTGATTGTGGTGATGGTCATAGTGATGATGATGGTCATAGTGATGACGATGATGTTGATGATGATGATGCTGATGATGATGCTGAGGATGGACAGTGATGATGTTGATGTTGTTGATGTTGATGATGATGCTGATTATGATGATGGTAGTGGCGATGATGATGGTGATGGTGATGGTGGTGGTGATGATGATGATGATGATGCTGCTGATGATGATAATGACGATGATGATGATGATGCTGATGCTGATGATGATGATGATGATGATGATGGTGGTGGTAGTGGCGATGATGATGCTGATGCTGTTGGTGATGATGATGAGCGCTGCTGCTGCTGATGATGATTATGATTGTGATGATAGTGATGATGATGCTGGTGATGATGATGATGATGACCTTCGATCCTCGATCTTCAATCATCGATCCTTGATTCTTGATTCTTGATCATCGATCCTTGATCCGATCCTCGATCCTTTATCCTCGATCCTTGGTCCTTGATCCTCGATCCGTGACCCTCGATCCCTCATCCGTGATGCTAGTTCCTTTAAACTAGATCCCTAATGCTAGATCCTCGATGCTTTCCTCTTCATCCTTCACCCTCGATGCTGGATCCTCGACGCCTGATCCTTGCTCATCGATCCTCGACCCTCGCTCGATTCTTGATCCTTGGTCCTCGATCCTGAATCCTCGATCCTTGCTCCTCGAAGTCCGTGGGCCTGGCATCGCTCGGACGTGTGTATTTTTCCTTCGGCGAGGACCATCGAGGAGCACCCTTGATCATTTGGCGAAAAAGCCACGCACGAAACCGAAACAAACACAGGGAATGGACGTCCGAGCGATGGCCAGTGGGGGGGGGGGGGGAGGAGGCCCCCCGCCCGGGCTGGCCGGGCGGGCCGAGGCCTTCGGCCTGGGGAGCGCCGGCTTCCGCCTGGGCAGCGGGCAGGGCCTGGCCCCGGGCGCCGTCGAGATGCTGCTCGGCAGCTGGCGCCAGGACGGCGGCGACAGCCGGCTCTCCAGCGGAGACCCCCGACGTCGCGAGAAACTCACGCCGAAAGGTTTTTTTGACAAGTTTCGGCCTCTGGAGGCCCTCGCCGGGCCTCGGGAGCGTCAGAAAAGGGCTCGGGAGGAAAAGCCGGCCCCAGGGAAGGTCTCCAGATTTCGGGGGGCCAACGTCGTGAGTTTCTCACGACGTCGGGGGTCTTGGGCCTTCTCTTTCGGAGGTCGATCGACCTCTTGTTCTGACACGTCGATTCAGGAATGGGCCGTTTTCGGTTCGCGAGAGGGCGGCGCGGCCGTCATTTTTGCGGGCCCAGGCCTGCGGATTTCGGTCCCAGGCCGTTTTCGCTAAGGCGAGGTTTACCAGAGGGAGGTCTGTCCACCGCCGACTCCTGGCTTGGGCAACACAGCGCACGGGTTCACGTGAAGACCCGCAGGCTCCGGCGCACCCGGCGGGTGCGAGAGCACCTTGCCGAGGTGCTCCGGCCTCGCCCACTCCGCCACACTCAGGAGGGGCAAAAACTCACAGACACAGTTCATCGTCGACCCCCTGGAAAATATGGGAAACTATGGGCAGTGGGGGGGAAGACAGAAGCCCAGAAAATATTGCAAAATATGGGGAGCATTTTCATTTGTGTGTGTGTGTGTTTATTTGTGTGTCCTGGGGCCCCTTCAAGAGCACCTTGCCGAGGTGCTCCGGCCTCGCCCGCTCCGCTGCAGCCCAGGGAGCATTCTGAGGGGTGCTTCTCCGTCGGCGACGGAAGCCAGCGATACCCTCGCTGCCTCGGGTCTGCTTGCGCTGGCATGTCGCAAGAATCCGGAGGGAAAGAAACACACAGACACAATGAATCGTCGATCTCCAGGAAGAAAGTATTAGAAAATATGGGGGGTGGGGGGGAAGACAAGAGCCAGGAAATGTAGGACAAGATGGGGAATCCCGTCATCTGTGTGTATTTGTTTGCGCGTGCCCCTGGGGTCCCGGTGGGGTTCGGCGCCTGGCCGACGCGGCCTCTGCCTCCATGTGCTCGTGGCTTCTGGCGTCCAGGCTGGAGTGTGTGTGTTCTTCATCGATCTGGGCATAATTTACCAGCCTGGAACATATCCCTACCCCTATGCTGGGCACCTCCTCATCACGATGCCAATCTTACGGATTCCCTTATTTTTTGAGGGCGGATCCCTAAGGTTGTCATCGCCTTTTGGCGTGTCAACCTTAGGGATAGGGATACGTTCGAGGCTGGTAACTAATCCGAGCATTTTCTTTGGGTAGAGGGCGAAGGGTGAAATCTGAAATGCCGTTTCGATGGATTTTCGGGGCCCGAATCTGCAAAAGGTGCGTCGCAAGGCGGACTGGTGTTCGAGGGGCTAGAGCCCAGGTGGATTTCACCCTGAGTCCTCCACCCTGGGAAAATTATGGGGCCACATGCGAACCCTACCCCTACCCCCCCCACGATTTCTGAGGGGGAGGGTGGGGTTCACTTCGCTCGTGAGCTCCCTAACGAAGTGAATCCCACCCTCCCCCTCAGAAATCGTGGGGGGTAGGGGTAGGGTTCGCATGTAAGCCCCTAAAAATGCTCAGTGGGCAGAGAAAGGTTGAGGATGCCATACGGTCGGCCTGGAATAGCAGGTCGACCCTGCCAGCTCAAGGGTGCCCTCGTGTCCTGTGTCTCGCGACCCGTGCCTCCCGCATTCCTGTGTTTCTTCATCGCTTTGGGCCTACTGTTAAGTCGGGCCCGTCCCTCTACAGGAGGAAAATTCAAAAATAGTCAACAAAATAGTCAGGGGACGATTTTTTGACAATTTTTGCCCATTCGCGGGGCATTCTTTGATTCTTCGCCCAAAATCCCCCCGCAGGGGGACAGGCCCGACCCAAGCATAATGGGCAGAGAAAGGTCGAGGATGCCGTACGGGGCCGTCTGGGTGACCACGCACGGAAAGCCGCCCAGGCAGGCGGGTGCTGTTGAGGGCGGAGGTGGCGCCCGGGCTGGCTGGCCTCCCCGCCCCCCCATAACGTAACGCCCCTCCCCCCCCAGTGCGCTCCGGGCACTGTCGCCGTGCGCATCGGGATCCGCATCGGCGTCCGCATAGGAGCCTGGTCCGCGTTGGACATCTCATGGGGATCCGCATAGGCATGCGCATGCCCATCTGCACAGGGATCCGCACGCCGCGTAAGGAGCCGAATAGAGATTCGCATAGGGATTCGCATGGCACTGCGCATGGGCATCCGCATAGGCGTCCGCATCGGGATCCGCATCGGGATCCGCACAAGCATCCGCATTGGGATCCGCGCATGGATCCGCATAGGGATCCGCCTTTGCACATAGGAATTCGCATAGGGGCCCGCAAAGGGATCCGCATAGGGATCCGACATTGTGGTCCTGTGTTCCTGGTTAAAACTCGTCATCTTCCTTCTGCTCCTCTTCTCCTCCTCCGTTTCCTCCTTTTCCTCCTCCTCCTCCTCCTCCTCCTCCTCCTCCTCTTCCTTCTCCTTCTCCTCCTCCTCTTCGGAGGAGGAGGATGAGGAGGTGGAGGTGGCCAAGCAGGGCGGAGAGAAGAGCGTCGCATTCTATTATCGGTACTTCCATGGCGTGGCGGTTAGTTGCCCGCAGCAGATCCTCACCTACATGCTCGTTCTACCTGTCCTGTGCACGCAGGCACTGTGGTGTACACCAGCGCTGCGTGCCCGCGGATGCTGTGGTGTAGACAGGCGCTGTGGTGTGCACAGGCGCTGCGCTGCACGCAAGCATTGTGGTGTACACAGGCGCTGTGTTGCACATGTTTGCTGCGGTGTTACACATTCGCTGTGATGTACACTGGCGCTGTAGTGCACGCAAGCACTGTGGTGTACACAGGCGTTGCGTCGCACACGGCTGTTGCGGTGTACGCAGACGCTGTGGTGTACACGCGCGCTGTGGTGCACGCGAGCATGGTGGTGTACACAGGCGCTGTGGGGAAGGGTCGCCACCTACATGCTGTTCGCGTCGTCGTCGTCGTCGTCGTCCCTCGTCGCTCATCGTCGGCGTGCGCGAGGGTGCGGCTGTGGTGCTGGAGCCACACGGCGGGGAGGGGCGTTACATTATACCCCCCCTATGATGGCCATTCTCGCCAAAAATAAAGAAACGCGCTCCAAGCAGTCATTGGCTATTACAAAAAAGGAGCCAGGGACGGTCTTGTTGTCAAATCTTAATTTATCAAGCATTTCATTGAAGTGCCTCCCCGGGAGCTCGCACCCTATTTTCGAGAAAGTGAGACTCAAACTGGGCCCCTGGCCCCCGATGTGCAACTTTCTTCAGGCGCCGCGCCCTCGACACTCAGGAGTCACGCTTTCGTCAAGGACTTCCGTATCCGCCAGCGTGCCGTTGGGCGCGGAGTGTCGTGTCCGCAGGTCCTTTGCCCAATCCCCTGAGCCTCAGTCTTCAATCCTGAGGAATTTCTTAGAGGCCCAGACCGTAAACTCTCGAATCTTCTTGGACCTGGCGTGGTTCCCCTGGGCCCCGTCGCGTCTTCCCGCATTAGTTTTTGGGGTTCAAGAGGGCCTCAAGATGGACCGAGATGCCCCCAAGACGGCCCAAGGGGGACCAGAGTCGCCGAACGATCGCTGCAAGACGTCCAAAATGGCTTTAAGACGGCCCTGAAGCTTTCGAGACACCCCAAGGGAGACCCAATAGCCTTCCCAAGAGGGTCCCGAGAGGCCATCTTGATATTACATTGTTTGTTCTTTCGGTATTTTGGGTGTTCTCCATTTTTTTAGCTTCCGACGCTCCAAGACGTCCACAGAGGCCCCGAGACCGCCACACCACGGCCCCAGAGGCATCCAAGAGGGCCACAAGACGGCTTCAAGAGGAGCCCAAGCGGGAGAACACGAACGGAAAATTCGAGCCTTCCGCCCCAAGAGGCGCCTAGGAGGCTCAAGAGGTCCCCAAGAACCCTCAAGAGCCCGGACTGCACCAACTACACAATGAATATAACCTTCCAAAGGGGGCACGATCGAAAACGAAGAGAGTGGAACATCGATGGTTTGGGATATACATGTTGAGTGATACGTGAGCAGATAAGAGCGAACAGTATTGGAATGATTGATGTTGTTGGTTGTTGCTGTTGTTGTGCTGTTGAGTTTTCTTTTCTACAGACTAAGTATTGTTGATCCCCCCTCCAGTGACCATTCCATGTTTCAAGTAAAGTTCTCCTCCCGGGGCTCGCACACTGTTTGTACAAGGGAAAGCTGGGCGTCACCAAACTAGGCCCCTGGCTCCCGAGTGCCAACAGCAACGGCTCCGGCCTGAAACTTCTGCACAACTTATTATTATGAAATCGCGATCTCGCGCGGGACTTCCCCACAATGTATACAGGAATCGCACTCTCGCGTGGAATTCCCTCACACATTATTATGACGCCGCGCCCTCGACACTTAGGAATCATGCTCTCGTTTTGGCTTTTTTCAAGAATTACTTGGGAATCGCGCTATCGCTTGAGACCTCGCATTCATGCTGGACTCACGCTTCAGCAGCCCGCCTGCTCGACCTGACCGCCTGGGCCCGCCTTCCCGACCCGCCCGTTAGGGTCTACTCGACCGATCTGCCCGTCTGGTTCTGCACGTTTTTTTTCTCCTAGCCCCCCTTCTGCTAATCTCTCCCGTGCTCCCTCCTTCTCCCTCCCCCTTCCATCAATCCTCTTTTCTCCCGTTTAAGGGGCTGCGCTAAACACGCGTCGCAGGTAAGGAAGATATACCCCCGAGGGGAAACAATCGAAGACGAAGAGGGCTGGTACAGAGGGTTTGGGATATTACGTGTTGAATGGTACGCGAGGAAAAAGGAGCAAACAGTCTTAACATGATTGCTGTTAAATCTCAATTGCTTACCAACGATTGTTGTTGGACCCCCTGGACCCGCCCTGGCGCTTTCGCCTCGGCGCCAGCTGCAGTTCCTTTGAAAAGTAGGTTCAGGCTCAGGCGTTTCGGGGGTGCGCCGAAACCGGCCCCCCACCAACACCAACAACAACAAAACCAACACCAACACCATGACCACCACCAACAGCAGCAGCACCACCACCAACAACAACAGCAACGAGGACAACAGCAACAACATCAACAACAACAGCAGCAGCAGCAGCAACAACACACGACAACACCACCACCACCAACAACAACAGCGCTCCCGCTCGATACTTCTTCCTCTTCTGCTCGGGACTGGGGCTCCTGATCGCGCCGAAGGCCAGCTCTCCAAGTCTCGCGGTTCCTCCAGGACGGACGCTTCAGCGACGCGCTCGCTCGACCCGGCCGTGTGGGCCCGCCCGCCCGACCCGCCCATGAGGGTCCGCCCGCCCGATGTGCCCGTCTGGTTCTGCCGCCTGTTTTCGTGCTCATAACCTCCCTCCTGTAAATCTCTGTGCCGCTCCATCCTTCTCCCTCCCCGTTGTCCCTTCCCTCCTCCTTCCCTTCCCCTGGCCGGCGGCCCGCGAAGCCGCGGCGTAAGGCCGCCATGTCCTCTTGCCTGAGATCCGTCTCTTTTCGCCGCCTCTCGTGTGCGGTGATGAACAAATTCTCGAAGAACGGCAGGATTATAGTTCACGCGAAGAGGATTATGATGCTCCAACTTACTTTGACCACCAGGAAGAATTTCGAGCGCCCGAAGAAGTACCGAAACTCAAGGGTTTTCACGTGTCGGGCCCTGGGAGACTGACACTGTTTCGACACTGTGTCGACATTATTTTGACACTTTTCCGGGTGCTCGAAATTATTTCTGGGATGCGGCCCTTAAGTAGGATCGGAACAACATAAGAAGAGGATCATCGCATTGCTGCTCACTTCTCCACTCGCTTCTCTGCCTCTCGTCGAGATGATGTGCGGGAGGGGGTCCCAGGCCTCGGGCGCTGTGGTTTTCCAAGAGGGGAGAAACACACAGACACAATTGCTCGTCGACTCCTGGGAAATTATGGAAACTACGGGCAGTGGGGGGAAGACGAAAATCAAAAAAACAAAAAAAGGAAAATATTGGGGATCCTGCTATTTGCGTGTATTGATCGGTGTGTCCCAGGGCCCCTTCAGTTTCTCTTGCTCGGGCCTCTGGAGGCCCGGGCCCCCGAGGGCCCTCGCGCAGGAGCCGCCCCGGGCGAGCCCGACCGCCCGAAGGGGACGCGGGCGAGAGCTCTGGGCCCCCATGGTGTTGAGAACGCCCCGGGCGTCGGAGGGGGGAGGAGGCTGGAATCGGGGAGGCGAGGAAGGGAACCTGAACCCTAAGCCCTAAACCGAGGGACGACGGGGGGCGCGAAGGGCGGGGATGGGAGGAGGGAGGCTGGAATCGGGGAGGCGAGGAAGGGCAAGGAGTGGGGCGGGGTGGCCAGGGAGGTCGAGAGGCGGAGGGGAGAGGGGGGAAGGGGGGGCTTCTGTCCGGTGCGAAGCGAGACGGCACGCCGCCCTCGCCGCCGCCGTTGCCGCCGCCGCCGCCGTCATCGCCACTGTCGCCGCATAGGGCAGTGGTCGCCGCCGCCGGGGCCGCCTCCGCACGCCGCCGGTCGCCTGCTGCCCGTCGCCGCCGCCCACCGCCCGTCGCCCGCTGGCGCCTGCCGCCTGCCCGCCCCCCCCCCGACGCTGCGGGTTCTGCGTGGCGTCTGCCCGCTGCTCCCACGCTCGCCGCACGCCGTCCGCAGCGCCCCACCCGCCCCGCGCGCTTCGCGCTCGGCGCGCTCCGGCGGACTCGTCCCCCGCGCCCGCGAGCGCTGGCGCTGCCGATGGAAGGCTCATCGTGCCGTCCACCTCTTAATTAGGGATATCGACCACTCCACTGGGGCCAGATTCTCATCCCTGAATCGTCTTTGACGGCCCCAAGGCTTTGGAACAGGCTCCAGGGTCCCAGGGCGACAATGAAATCGGCCGTCGTGTTTTCTGAGTCGCCCGGATTTGACGGGCTCTTCGTTTTGTGTTTCGCAGTCGCGATTCGCTGCGGCGTTCTGCTTCGCAGCCCGAGCCCTTACACACGCGCAATCACTTTGCACTGCCGTCTTTGTTTTTGTTCACGAAGAGTTGCCAAGCGCGCTCTGCTGCCCGCGCGCCCTTCCGAATGCTCGGCTTGTCGCTCTCTCGCCCAGGTCAGAGGGGCCGTCGCCGCCGCCGCTGGGGCTGCCTTCGGTAGCAGATGGTGGGTGCACTAGAGTGCGCTTCCGTGGATGAAAAAGCACCGCGAAACCAAATTCCCAACATTGGAGTTCCTCCAGTCAAGGAGAGATGGAACCACGGCCCAAGCAGCAACGATCGTAGGTGGAAAACACGTGTCCGATGTTCGTGCTTATTTTGTTGGTTGACATGTTCAGGTGCAGCCGCCGATCCTGCCCAACCGAGAACTCGCGTCCTAAGAATGGCGAAATTCCAACGTTACGAACTATTGTCGCTACATCTGTTCCATCCACCGTGGCGTCTGGCCATCTATGAGAAGACGCAGATTTGGCGTCGACGAGCGTCGCTTCAGCGCCGACATGCGTCGACTAGCGTCAGTCGACAGCCAGCCAGATGGCATGGGAGGACCCCGTGCGTTGCGACCGAAGCCGCTGCCCACCGCCGCCCGGCCGGGCCCCACCAGCAGGAGCCCCGCCCGCAGCGGGTGACGCTCCCGAGCGGGGACGCCAGGGGCTCGGGCAGCACCCGCGGGCGTTGGCCTCCTCCTCCTCCTCCTCCTCTTCCTCCTCCTCTTCCTCCTGCTCCTCCTCCTCCTCTTCCTCCTCCTCATCCTTCGCCCTCCTCCTCTCCCTCTTTCGCCCTCGTCCTCCTCCTCCTTCGCCCTCGTCCTCCTCCTCCTTCGCCCTCCTCGTCCTCTTCCTCCTTCGCCCTCCTCCTCCTCCTCCTCCTCCTTCGCCCTCCTCCTCCTCCTCCTCCTCCTCCTCCTCCTCTGCCTCCTCCTCCTCGGGCGGCGCCGGCCTCGATCTGGTGGCCGCCGCCGGCGCTCGAACGGGGCCCGGATCTCTGGCGAAGTGATTCTTCCAACCAGTGCTTCCTTCTCCTCGATTTCGGCCCGGTGGGCTCCCATCCTTCGGAAGCAGATCGTGGGAGCCTTGCGTGTCCTTGCTGCTCAGCCTTTAGAGTGCGCCAGCGTGCGCCAGCGTCTGTCAATCAATGAGAAAGCGCCGATGTGGCGTCGGCTAGTGTTGGCTTCGCGTCGTTTCGCAAGAGTCAACGAGATGGTATGGGAGGCTTCCATAAGTTGCCACCGGAATTGTTTCAACCTGTTGTTCGACCAATCTTAGCTGCCCTGATACGCCCGTTCTGAAACGCAACGCGTACCGTGTTCAGAACGTCCGTGTTAACACGTTGCGTGTTGGCTCAGCGTGATGGCCGACGTCTTGGCAAAAGTATCGCGCCAAACTTACGTCTCCATGCCAACACGCTACAGGCTGCGAGTTGCGAAATGGGGCAGCTAAGCAATCAGCAATGATTTCTCATCGGTCTCGGGCCTCGGGGCCCCATCGGGCCTAGGGACCACCAGAAGCGTATCCAGGACGAAGCCCTGGCGTCGCATTTCTGTGATAAGTTGGGCGGCTTTGCCTTGCATCGGGCCCCCAGGACCTTCAGTTGTTTCCTCCCTTTTTTGAAGGCCAAAACAGCAGGTTCTCAGAGCCTGGCTTGGCATCTTCTGGCAATTTTGGTGTGTACGAAGGAGTCCCAGAATACAACCAGACACAGTGTACCTTTGCATTCAAGAGGTACGCGTGGTGCTTTCGCACAGTCGGAAACAGAGGTGCCGTTCGTGACAGCGTCGGCCTGCCCCGCGTGGTTGGTTGTGGCAGGTCCTGAAGAGGATCGCCAACCACACGCCGAAACGCTGGAGACGGACTGGACCAGGGGTGCCCGAAAGAGTGTGCAGATTCAGTCCTTGACCAGAAAGGAGACCAAAGGAAGTTGCGCAGTCAACTGCTTCTCGGCGACCCTTGCGCGGCATAGCCGTTGCCAGGTGAGCCTGAGGCGGGTGTACAAATAATGCCATGTATGTCGCACTAATATGGATATGCTTGGCAAAAGATGGGCTATCAGCCGAAAGTCTCTCCAGGAGCTCGTCTTCGGTGGTGCGGCCTTTTTTCCCAACAGTCAGAGAGGTAGCAGTTGTGGCTTTACCAGAAAGGGGGCTTCGCAGGTGCGCTCTGATCATCCACGAGCGCCTAACGCAGGGGCCGGGTGGCTCACACCCCTGGGTCGTGGTTTGTGTCCGCTCAAGGAAAATGGGGCAATCGCCCGGCTTAGCTGCGGTTGCCGGCGGTGTCACGAAAGATGGGGCAGTTGTTTCCTCCCTTTTTTGAAGGCCAAAACAGCAGGTTCTCAGAGCCTGGCTTGGCATCTTCTGGCAATTTTGGTGTGTACGAAGGAGTCCCAGAATACAACCAGACACAGTGTACCTTTGCATTCAAGAGGTACGCGTGGTGCTTTCGCACAGTCGGAAACAGAGGTGCCGTTCGTGACAGCGTCGGCCTGCCCCGCGCGGTTAGTTGTGGCAGGTCTTGAAGAGGATAGCCAACCACACGCCGAAACGCTGGAGTCGGAGTGGACCAGGGGTGCCGAAAGAGTGTGCGTACTCAGTCCTAGACCAGAAAGGAGACCAAAGGAAATTGCGCAGTCAACTGCTTTTCGGCGACCCTGGCGCGGCATAGCCGTTGCCAGGCGAGCCTGAGGCGGGTGTACAAAGAATGCCTTGTATGTCGCATTAATTTGGATACGATTGGCAAAATATTCTTTCATAGATCGATCTGGCGCGAGAGCTGCCGCAGCAAGATGCGGTCCAGGGCTCCAGTCGTGACGACGTCGGATCTCGGCTATACGTGAGAGTGACCTTTCGCTGGGGTGACCTTTGGTGCGAGCCCAACGGGCCCCCCGATCGCCTCATGCGATGCGATAGCACCGGCTTGCGGGCCTGGTGGTGTCCCCAAAGGGCCCTCCCTTGGGCCGCGCATCAAAGGTCACTCTTGCCTAGGGTCACTCTTGCATGTCGCCGAGGACCTCGGGGTGTTGAAGTGGCGGCCAGACAGGGTCACACGGAGTGACCTTTGGTGCGGGCCCACGGGTGCCCCCCAGCATTGGCCTGCGCGCTTGGATCTGGCCCCCTTCGCGGTCCGCACCGAAGGTCACTCTTGGCCCAAACCGGAGTTGCCATGGGCCAGAGTTATCAAGGATAGTTCGGGCGTCCGAATTTGGACACTGCCAGCGCGAACATCCTCCACCCGGGGGCTCCACTGGGGGCTCCACCGGGGGCCCCACCAGGGGCTCCAGGATGTTGCCGCTCCACCCGGGGGCTCCACCAAGGGCCTCCTGAGCGGCATGTTCTGGCCCCCCCGACGGGCGCAGGGCCACGTTTCTTTGTGGGGCGGCGGAGGCACGCGAGGAACCTGCTGCAAGATCCTGTCGCCAGAGGAGGTGGTGGGCGCCGACTGGAGAGCGTCCGCAGGGCAACGAACGCCATCAGGCTAGGCAAAGGAGAGAACGCGGAAAGCAGCAGGGCGCGCCTGGCACGCTCTCGCCGCTCTTCACGTGCAGGGTGCGGCCGCCAGCGGCAGCAGCACGGCGGCGACGGCGGCGACGACGGCCGACGGACGACCGACGACGACGCCGAGGCCAAGAAAAACAAAACAGGTTAATCAGAGTCGTCCGAAATCCCGCCCGCCCGCTCCACCCGCCCCGCCCCCCCACCATCGGAAGTGGCAGCCTCCTCAAGTCGGAGGGCTCTGGCCACCATGGATACCGTGGAGGAAGACTGCTGAGGGGAGGACATAGGCGAGGAGGGAGAGGGGCCCTGGGCACGGGAGAGGACCTCGCCCGTCGAAGGGTGCAGGCCTCTCGAGGCCTTGGAAAGCTTCCGCAGCTGCTTGTCCCTGGTCGAAGGGACCCTGGAGGCACCCTGACAAGTAGCCATCAGAGCACGAGGGACACCATGCGGGAGCACAACAAAGCCTGCACAGATAGAGCAAATCATCACACGATCATACTTCTCAATCGTGTGACCTCTCGACTCAAAATCACGGATGGCCGCCTCACTCTCGTTTCCCGAGGGGTTTCCAGGAGGGAGAGGAGGTGGCAGCAAACCCACAGCCTCAAGGGCCTGGTCCGCTTCGGCCACCGCCGCGGCCTTCACAGGCCGCGCTCGATTTCGAACACGCAACCACTCTTGCCCTTTAAGGGCTGAAAGGGCCGAGGGTCGGCAAAACTTGGAGGGGCCGTTACACAGATGCGCCAAGGTGCTGCAGGTCCAGGCCCCGACAAAACACGAGAGACATCTCACCTCCCCTGAATCATGGTCGAGGAAGAAAGAATGACCATGCAAGCTGAGCTGCGGCCCAGGCTGGGGTCGAAAGACACTCGACGGCGGGGGCAGACTGGTCCACCGTCGGAGTCGAGCGAGCCTGGCAGCAGCCCAGGAAATATAATCGATGGTAGCACGATGAAACTTGAGCTCGCCTGCGACAGCCTCTGCCGTCGTCCTAGCCATCATGACCCGTGTCGACGCAAGCTTGGCAAACAGGTCGGCCCAAGCATTCCCGATCCAGGTTATCGGGTCCAGCTTTCGCTCCAGGACTTCCTCAAGAGAGAGGTGAGCGGGGGTCCAGACGAAGTGAGGGGGAGGGTCCTGGGCAGGCCGACGCTGCGCCAACTCAAAGACACTCCTCCAAATTGCAGCGTACCTATTCATTCCGCACGCCAATTCGGGGTCCCAAGACAAACCTTCCTGAACCAGAGAAAGCAAATCTGAAACGAAAACCTCCAAGCTGGGATTACGCCTCATGGCGTGCAGAAGCGCAGTTCTCTCCGCTCTGCCCACGGTCTGGACAGCACCCTCCAGGGATCCAAATACCGCACGGACAGGGAGGAGCGCGTCGTTGAGCTGAACAATGGCCCACCCCGCGCGCCTAACTTCAGGCACGGCGGGGTGCTGTGCGCTTCCATCCCCGAAAGTAACAGGCCCCCACTCACCCCCAACGTCACCCCACTCCCAGGCCACCGACGATTCAGGCGGGGATGGAAGCTGGATCGAGAGCCTCGGAAAACCATAACTAAAATAGAGACGGTCAAACTCAGGATCGAGCGGGGAGCGGTGTCCAAGAGCTCGCAGAGCATCCCGATGAGACGCGTGCCGCTCACACAAAACCTCAACACCAGAAGCCTCCTCGCTCTCATCGGGCTGCAACAAGCTGGGACATCCAAGCCAAACATGCCCGAAAGATCCATCATCTGACTGACAAGCTGCACAGTGCACCTTCACATCTTTTCCCCAGGCAGCAAGGCGGGCAGCAGTGGGGTACCGATCAGCCCACAGTGCCCTCAGCGCTCCAAGCGGCGCCTGCCTCAAGTCACGTAGCCCAAGTCGAAGAGCTCGTTCCCAGACATCGTGAGAAGCCTCCTGCACAGGCAAGTGATAAGCCAGCCGCTGCACCTGCCACCGCTTGATCGATTCTTCAAGAAATACCTTCATGTCGGCTGGTGCCACTCGCAGAAGATCAAAGTCCTCACCTTGGTCGCTACGCCAGTGATGAGGTCCAAGAAATGTCCAGCCAATTCTGTTAAGTGTGAGCCAGGCCGCACTCAGTGGGCCGCGAACCGCCGCCCAGGTGAGCCCTTTGTCGTTAACACGATCTGCCAAACTCAACC